AAGTGGTAATGAGGTCTTAAAGTATGGAAAGAGTCTTAAAAAAAGTCTTAAATTGTAATGGATTTGTCTCTTATTCCTGTATATACTCTGGTCAGGTTTTGATCTTGGTTATCGTATGTATCAGTTGGTAATATAACTGATATTGTGACACCTCTATGCAGTATTGAAACAAAATGGCATTGTTTTAATAATGGCATAAACACACTCTGCTCTTCTATATTCTGTAGTTACTGGGATTGGGCATGGCTCTCTTGGAGAACGTGGATCCGAACCCAGAGAACTTTGTGTGCGCAGGAGTGATCCAAACCAAGGCCCAGCAAGTGGGTTCCCTGCTAAGACTCGAGCCCAACGCACAAGCTCAGGTATGAAAACACATTGGTTTTATGCATATGTGCATCCATATTACACAAACAAAAGGAAAGGGAAAAGAACACAGAAATGCAGTCTCTCAGTCCCTCCCTGCTGCTTTGGAGCACTGGTTTCTCTCCAAGTCAGTTTTATTGCATCTTACTGTTGTCTGTGTGTCTCTGTGCCTGCTGATGCAACTCAAGTCTGGGGAGCAGGTAACATATTCATCCTGCCACCCGTCACATCCCAAAACATCCTCCCTTCCTCCCTCTCTTGTGATTCATTCCATGTCTAATAGTAAAAACCCAGTTCATTTGGCGTGACAGCAGCGTCCTTCTCTTTGTATTTGTCGAGTTTCCTTTGTCCATTGTGCAAGTTTACATTTTAGTCAATAAGAATCAGACACTCATTTGAACAGCAGAGTTGAGCGTCTGTCTGCGGGATTGATTGGTCTCTTTTTTTGTGTGTGTGTTGTGCATTTCTCTCTCTCCCAGATGTACCGGTTGACTCTACGCAGCAGTAAGGACACAGTCTCCAAGCGTCTTTGTGAGCTGCTGGCGGAACAGTTCTAGAATGCGAGCCGAGACTAGAACCGACACCCAGACCAGACCAGCGTTCCACCTGAGAGACCCCAAAATTAAAGATTCTACAAAAAGCATTCATGCATAAGGGAAAAAGTAGCTGTCAGCCTCTGGCAGCCATATTACTGTCCTTCTGATAATGATTATTATTACTGTTGTTATCATCAGCGCTGCCCTTCTTGTTTTTATCGGTGTTTACCTGTGTGTATGTGTGTGTGTGATGGAACGAAAGGCAAGGTGTGCGAGTGTTTGTTTTTTTTCGTACATGTGTGAAAGAGTCATGGTGATTGTTCCGTTCTCCGTCCTGCCTGTTTAACGATCAACTCCTGTGCTTGTGTTGACAGCTGGTGTGTGTGAGTATGAGTGTGTGTATATTGTGGGTTGAGGGAGAAAAGTCCAGCAAAAAGATGAAAGTGACGCAAGTCTTCCCTCTCTCCTGTTTTATCCGCGCAAAAACTGCACATTCGCTGTTTCTTTGGAACATTCCCTGTAAGAGCATTCGGCAGGACAAGAAAAAAACACAATCTCAATACACTAACGCAATGGCACTTGTCTAAAAGAGGCCAGAATCACTAACCCCTCATCGCTTTATCTCTCGCTTTACTGAAATCGGAGCCATCGGTGTACATAGAAAAAAAAGTAACTTCCACATGCATTTCCAATTTAGCGCACCGTACGACGTAGAAATGGCCAGTGCACTTTAAGGGGCTTTGAGAGGAAAGGCTTTTATAGTCCCAACCCCCTTTTTCCTGTTCTTGTCCTATGTATTCAGTACTCGTCCTGACCCCCATATCTGACAATGTTATTATTGAGAAGAAAAAAAAAACAAATCTCTATATATAAATATATATAAACCATGTAAATGATTACCCTTCATGGTTGCGTTTGTATGTCTCTTTCTTGTTTTTGATAGTGGTATATTGTCAGTGTGTTTGTATGCTTTCTTAAATGGTCTAATGTTTTTGCTCTTGTTTTGGACATTCCATTCTGTACTACGAGTGAATGGGCATAACGTTTCAGGTTAGTCGTACAGTGTTAAAGGAGCGGGGGAGGAAAGAGAATCAGAAAGCTGGGGCGAGGACGGGTCCGGCGGTGTGTGACTTTCTGCACATGAAGAGTGCAACTGCTGTGGACCTTCATGTAAATGTCGTTTCTTTTTTTGTTTGTTTTTGTAAAATTGTTAAAATATACACCTGGAGGAGGTCGACAACGTCTGTCGCTCTTCCAGCACAGTTATTGACTGAAAATGAATAGTAGATAGTGGTTACCTCATTACTAAATCCTCACACACACACTCTATTAACTTTTCGAGTGGCGACTGGCCACAGCTGGAGACCCATACTTTTTTCTTTCGCAGCGATAAAACCTGGGAAAGCACTTAGTTTTGTGACATGCACACATTCTTAGGCTGGGAGGAGGACAGGGGCTTAAGGGGGAGCACTGGACCAAAGCAGCTGCCAACTGTCAATCACATACAGGGATCATTAGGATTTTGGTCAGCAAGTGTGTGGCGTTAATCTGTCTGATCCATGTGGAGAAAAAAAAATAATGGAATTTCTGCGACATTGTCATTATTAGTTGAGCTGGGGGTCTCGCTTTCCTTGATGCTGAGATGCAGTACTGGGGACTTTGTCATTGTAGTTGAATAGAGTCACAGTCATGGCGTGTGTGTGTGTTTCTGTGTGTGTGTGCGCGTGTCTATGCAGTATCCGCTAGCTAATGCAGCCCCGGTGTGTCGCTGTTCAACCTGTCAGATACCTGTGTTAGATTAAATTTACTCTGTACTGAATAATGTGAAAGTAAAATTATGCCATATACTCGAACCAGGTGTTTTCTTTGTGTGTGTGTGTTTGTAGGTTGGTGTTAGGGATGAGCACTGAGATCAGGTGAGCTGACAGCTCAGTTTAAGGTACATGCACAAAATAGATGGCCATGCTTCTCTATGTTTATGCATCTGACAGTACTGTATTGGTGAGTAGAACAAAGCAGCATTATAAGCTTTGTGAAGTTTATTTATAAACTAATTTCGAGAGGATCATGCGCTTATGATTGACCACAGCTGGCCCCGCATTAGCTCACGATTGATTCTCCAATCAGACGATTCCTAACCCACTATAAAGAACCAGAGTGTCTGTATCTCAGTATCTTCATCTTGAAGAGTTCCCACTCCCCCCTCCTTTCCAGATAAGCGATACAGCGACCCAGTGATTAGCACTATTGCCTCACAGCAGGAATGTCTCTACTAAACCAGTTGACATTTCTGTATGGAGTTTGCTTGATCTCCCCATGCTCGGCTGTATTTTCCACAGGTTCTCTGGTTTCTTCCTACAGTCCAAAAAACACTCAAGTAAATCGAACATATCAAATTGATACATAGCCAAACTCTTACCAAGAGTACACCTCTACTTAGCCATCATAAGTCTGTGATTAGCTAAAAAATAAGCCAGGGGAGTTCATCGAGATCTACCTGAGCTCAAACTCCCCTCTCGCCCTGCAAGTGGGAGGGAACCAATGGCTTGAGGATCTCATAAGCTTAGGGCTTTCTCCCGGGACAGGATACCCAACAAGCTTTATCGTCAATTAACAGCCCTTCCACAATTTAAGATCTTTAATCATAGCACAATCTGTTTAGTTTAAACTTTGTCCGCTCTGCTTGGCACAGAAAGGAAATTTGTCTTTAACGCTGGTAACACATCAATCACATAAAAGAAACACTCAAGACAACAGCATAAATTAAAAATTTAAAAACACATTAGCCCCATATAATTGGTATGTAATTGCTAAACCTATTTGGTTCACAAAGTCCATGGCGTTAAATATTTTGTCCTTTTTTTCTGGGTACAAATGTCTAAACGTATTTAAGACAAGATGGGTAAACTACAGATTATCTGAGCGTACATGGTTACATTGTCATTGGGTTTTGAAATAAACCCTACTGGCAAATATTTATTTGTCCTAATGCATTTTCAGAAATCAATATTTAATTTTGCATCTCAAATATGTTGTGACTGATGAAGCTTGAGATATTTGCACTAGAAAAAGAAGTATAATTATAGAATAATAAGATACCAAGAAGTTAAACAGTCACTTTTGCAGTATGAGCTTAAGAAACAAAGTTATGCACATACTTTAGTGATTGATTCTTTTTTTAGTGGATGAGTCGTTGAGAGATGAAAGGTGTATTAGCAACATTTCAGTTTATTGAACACTGACTGGTGGTGTTCTCCTCAGTATATTGTATTTTTAGGGAACCTTAAAATATTGCAAGAGCAAAATTAAGTGTTTTTTTTTTTTAACTCTCAGGGAAAATAAACTGCAAATCAAATTAGGTCACCAGATAGGATTTATACCATACTGAGAAATAAAAGCTATTATCGAAATGTTTTTTTTTTATTATTATTATTAGATGATTAGGTTTGCATATTCAGTGTAAAAGAAAATGTTCAGTGGAGGGAGTCTGCTAAATTATTGCAAGATTAAGACAAATGTGATATTCTGTATTAGAATTGCATTACATAGTGACTATTTACAGAAATGCATTAGCATACAAGTTGCACAAATGCACATGATCAATACTGTATTTCTGCTGGGTTTGCAGCTGGAGAAATAAATTAATGTTGTGCTCCAGTCTGATCAAAACAAATGACATCATTGAAACATAAACAACGTAATTGTTTTGGGTACAGTGCACTGCGGTAGTGCTGTTTTATTATGAATATGATATAAATAGGTAAATGTGGAGCACTGAACTAAGCGTTCTGAATAATACATTTTGTTTACAACAGAAACACTGCTCCATGCGGGACGCTGCAGACGAGTTTGATATCAAAAAACATCTAGAATGATAGGAGAGTCGCAATTGACGGATTGCACACACTCCATTTGCAAAATAAACGCAGCTTGTTTCAGTCTGAAAGGCTACAGGGAGTAAAACGCGATTCATCACAATAAAAATGCCGAGGTCTTCAGGGTAAATTGATGATGGCGAACAAACAGAGCGTGCCCGCGCGCGCGTCAAAGAGCAAGCCTGCGCTCCGATTGGCTGAAAATGACATCACACTGAATTGCACTATTCTTAGCTTCTGGAAACGGGGATGACCTCATCTTTTCCTCCCTCGCGCAGGTACAGATACATACAACAACAAATAATGTTAGGAGCGCAGACAGGACGGAGAGGAGCTCGAGAACACAGCTGCTGAGAAGGCAGATCGAGTAGCTCTTTATCTTCAAGCAGATTGATAAACATACCAAACACGGTATTTGCTTCTGCAGTTTGTGCTGCAGACAGAGCCGCAGCCGCTTCGCTGGACTTTTGCAAGCTTTTTAGATTTCCTGCGCGTTCTGCTGGTTTATAACTGAACTGGTGAGTACCAGCTTTTAAGTTTACTGTAAATAAACATAACTTGTTGTATAACCATGGTAAAAATATATTTATTAAAACTTTAATTTCAGGCCCTTTTAGGGGATTATGTCAGTCTGTTTACTGCGTCATAGACCCACTCAGTAATTCTCTGTGTATTTAGCATTTCTATATTGTTTCATGCTAAATAAACATTCTCTTATTTTAGATCAAATCTAGAGATGGTGTTCTACAGGGACGGTCAGTCTGAGCGGCCACCGCTGTCGCGTATTCTGCCGCATCTCTACCTTGGTGCAGAGACTGACGTAACGCAGGTATATTTACAATTCTCAAATTATTCATAAGTATTGCTGTCATATAATAACAATGCATTTGTTCTCATTGGTGTTTTCTGTGCACAGCATGCGACTTACTTTCTCACTATAATCCGCTTTTCGCACTACAGGATGGATTGTCCGACCGAGGCATTTCATACGTGCTAAGTGTGAGCCGATGTTGCCCACAGCCGTCCTTTCTGCCCCAGTCCCAGTACCTCCGTATCCCGATCGACGACTCCCTGCGGGATGACTTGCTTCCCTGGATCCCTCAGGCGCTGCACTTCATTGGTGAGGGACCTGCAAGCCCACTGCTTACATCAGCCTAGATTTGCATCCTAAATGCATTACATCATTAATACTTTTAGCGATGGTTAACAAACGCATGACTATTGAAATAGATTTTGATTCTATATACACTACCAGTCAAAAGTTTGGGGTCAGCAGGGGTTTTAAATGTTTTAAAATAGGTTTATCCTGCTCACCAAGGCTGCATTTATTTCATCACAAATACAGTACAAATTGTGAAATGTTATGCACTATAAAATAACTGTTCAAAAGTAATTTATCATTTATTTCAGTGATTTTATCGATAGATTTTTAGCTTTATTACTCCAGTTCACTTAGTCACTTGATCCTTCAAAAAGCACTCTAATATTAATTAATAATATTATTAGTAGTATTATTATTATTAATGGTAATAGTAATAAAAGCAATATTAATATTTCAAAATTCATTTGAAACTACATACAACAAGAAAGCAGTTATTTAAAATTGTAATAAATATTCAACAATTTAACATTTTTTACATTTAATAAATGCCCCCTTCATAATAAACAGAATAATTAAAAACTAAATAAATAATTAAATAAATTAAAAGATCACAAACCGATCATATTTATCTATAAAGTACTTTTTTTTTCTTGCAAAAAAATTGTTAGTAAACATCCCAAAGCTATTAGCTGAGTTTGTATGAATACATAAACAAGTTTTATTCCTGTCAATACCAAAAATATGACTTAAAACAATGTTGAAATAAGCAGTTCAGAAAGAATGAAAACAAAGATTGCTTTGGCCTGATTTTTGTCTAAATTACATCCGTTTGTTGTTTGAATGCTTTTGGCATTTTTTTGGCATTTTTTTTTTTTTTTTGAGTTTCATGGTTAAGCTGTATTTAATTTCTCCCTGTGTGCATAATATTTCATTAACATAATCAACTGATCTGTTTTAGATGGGGCCATGTCAGCTGGCTGCTCAGTCCTGGTTCACTGTGCTGCAGGAATCTCTCGCTCTCCTGCGCTTGCTGTGGCCTACGTCATGTACAGCCTAAAAATGGATCTGGATCATGCATACAGGTAATGTGCATCTGCTGCTGTTTATATGTGCATCTTCTGTTATTGAGATTTTTTGATTGAAACTGGTGATGTCAACAAGAATGATTAACTAATAATATCAATATCTGATCATTGCTTTAGGTTTGTGAAAGAACGCAGACCTACAATTTCACCCAACTTTAATTTCCTGGGGCAGCTGCAGCTCTTTCAGGGGACTCTTTCTTTGAAGAATAATAAGTCAAACCTTCACGCTCTGGATAACTGCCCTCAGCCCACCAGTGAAAAACACAACAGCAGTTCCACAGCGCCACTGTTAACTAACTTGAACCTTCAGAACAACATGGACAACAACTGTATTATTAATGGACGCACTGAGGATTCCAAAGCAAACATGCACTGTGAAAACAAAAACAGCCAGCAGGAGAATGTTCAGAGTCGAGGTCAAGACTACAAGCTGCTGAAGCCTGAGTTTACCTTATCTCTTTCAGACAAGCTCAGCGCACTCACTCTCCGCACAAATCCTGCAGAGGTACAAAGACCGGCCAACGTCACATCTCAGACACAGCAAGATGCACCAAAGTCCATCCTAGCTAAGCCTACTCACCTTCAGATTCCATCTCTAGCAGAGAAACGCAAAAGCCTTACCCTTTCCCTGACGCCAGCGAGTGCAGTTCCTCAGACTCCCCAGAAGGGGTCATCAGTAAACAGTTGTGATTTAAAGCAAAGCAGTCCCGCGGGTGACCAGAAGGGGACGTTAGATGACCGGAGCAGAGTCTCAGCTTTAGAAACCAGAACAGAACCAAAAGAGGCGAGCAGGATTATCAGCAAGGAGACTTCAGCAAGACACAGCTGCTCAAGATCACAAAGAAGGAAGAATAGATCAAACCGCAATAAACAGGAGACACAAAAAGCAAACACAGTGAACCATTCCAGCGCACAATCACACAGGCAGACTCAGGGATCACGTGGAGCCCCGCAGGAGGTTACTGGTGGTGTTGAAGCAGTGGAGGGTATGGATGTTGACCACAGTCCCATGTCTCCAGTCAGTCTTACAGTCAATAAAATACTGGACTGGGGAGAACGCATGCTGCTTGGGGTCCTACTTGGCCCTCGTATTAAAGTGGGACAGGCTGCTCTGCCATACAGATGTTGAAGAGGGACTGGATGTACGGACCGTTCTATTTATAGACACAGGTGTAAACAAGGAGAACTGTGATTGCTCAGTACCTCCCCAATGAGCTGAAGGAACGTAAATGAAGATGCATATGTACGAGTGTGTGATTTCACGTATTTATTTGATGAAGTTGCATGTTCCTCAAGGCTATTTGACAAACTCTGATAGACTGGACGTGTATAAATGGCTGAACGTCACATGCAATTTTTTTCTGTTATAACGCACAGCCTGCCTGTGACATTATTTATTGAGATACACTGATAATTGTTATTTATAAAGGGGTATTTTGCAGGTGGAATTTTAACACTATAGCTTGTATTGAAAACAGTGTTCATTAAAGACAATTATTTTATTCTGCCTTCCGGTCTCTTTCATTTTAGCAACATCGTACTATTTGGCAGGGAAATGTATAATGTACAGATTTAGCAATAAAATATATAATAATCCTACACGCCATGGCACCGACTCTGAATCCAGTGTTGTGAAAAAGTAAAACATTATTACAATCTTAAGTCTCTTTTTAACTAAATGTGTTACTTGGTTACTTTTCAAGGAATGTAATGCATGTTACTTTTTAATGTTTTATTAATACATTGTAAAACACATTATAACTATATACAATGACAACATAAACATGTAATGATAAGCAAATACACTGGAGTATTTTTAGCAACAAAAAAAAAAGAACAAAAATAATAATAATAATAAAAACACAAGCGCAATCTTACATACAGAAAATACAGGTCTACAATGTGCTGGCCAGAACTAGTATCCAGTACCAAGCTGGGAGTTGGGGACTCAATGAGAAGGAACAGTTTAAGATGAAGTGAAGGGATTTAATTTGATTTATTTTGAACAGAATGTCATACATAAAAATTCTTTAACAAAAAATACATTTCAACATAGTCGAAAAAAGGGGCAGGATCAAGCACAAGCTTATTTTTTTCCCCACCCCATTATCACAAACATCATTCGTCTATTACTTTAACATATTTTTTGTGGTATGCCACATTTACATTTAGATATGAAGATTTATGGTTGCCAATTTCCACGAACTGGGTTTTCACAGTGTAATAAAAACAGGGCTATAGGTCGGTGAAGAGAGTACTTAATTTCCTCTAATTTCATATAATAAAGAACATTTCTTAGCCAACAAGTGTGAGAAGGAGAGTAAGGGCTCTTCCAGTTCAGAAGAATTAACCGTCAGTCAGAAGCTTTAAGAAGGCTACAAATAATGGGAATGGGAAGCCCGAAATAAACCAATAACTTGATAAGTTGGAAAGTCAACAGTGGCAATGTTATGGGTTTTCTTTGTGTGTGTGTGTGTGTGTGTGTGTGTGTGTGTGTGTGATGTTTTGAGAGTAAGGTAGGATTAAAATAGTACATTACTTTTTTTACCCAACACTGTGGAAATCAGGTCTGTGATTTTCGATGCTAGTAGCTCCTATAGGACAATGTACAGTTGAAGTCAGAATTATTAAACCACCTGAATAATTAGCCCCACTATTTATTTTTTCCCCCAATTTCTGTTTGACGAAGAGCAGATTTTTTTTAGCACATTTGTAAACATAATAGTTTTAATAAATAATTTCTAATACCAGATTTATTTTATCTTTGCCATGATGACAGTAAATAATATTTTATTAGATATTTTTTAAGACAGCTTAAAGCTCATTTAAAGGCTTAACTAGGTTAGTTAGGTTAACTAGAGAGGTTAGGGTAATTAGGCAAGTTATTGTATATTGATAGTATGTTCTGCAGATTATCGAATAAAACTGTAGCTTAAAGGATAGTAATTTTGACCTAAAAATGGTTGTTAAAAAATGAAAACTACTTTTATTTTGGTCAAAATAAAACAAATAAGACTTTCTCCTGAAGAAAAAAACATTATCAGACATACTGTGAACATTTCCTTGCTCTGTTAAACATCATTTGGGAAATATTTAAAAAAGAAAAACAAAGTCAAAGGGGGGCTAATAATTCTGATTTCAACTGCACCTGTCCATTAATGGGATAGTTCAAGAACAAAATATATTACTTACATTTTCTTACCCATCCAAGGTGTAGGGGCCTTTTTCAGAAGAAAATTTCAGAAGATTTTTAGCTTTTGTGGATGTTATTAAATATTCATAAAATGCAAGTAAACAAACTTTTTACATTGTTACCTTCATAAGCAGCTTTAAGCGTAACCTATGCTATTCTAGGGTGGAAACTAACACTGAATTATAAACAGTCTAAATATTAATTTACTTCTTCAGTAGTTTTATATCTAAGCTGTAGGCTACTATAAAAAATAGCCCCCTTCCTGTATTAGTTTAGTCACAATAAGGAGTAGCCTCCCATTTCAGCATAAATTCTGTGAATAAAGGCGTTCAGTGGCAGACTGTGGGCCTCCAAAACTCATCACACATTGTTAGTCACATCTGGGGAGGTTTTAGTTCAATGCATGACACAGCCTGATCATCCAAGCATCAGTTCCTAATTATCATCACCAAGATATTACAAATAATATGCTGGAAAAACAGTTTTAAGTGTATAGACTTATGTATATATTTATTCAGAGTGTATTGTATTTTAGTGTGTAAACTGGAATATTGAGGCTAATCTTGACTTCACAAACATTTATTGCAAATTAAATTGTAATATCTGGCAAATAAATCTCAATTAGATATTTTCGCTAAATCATTCAGCCCTACCCACAACTAATACTCTTTCATATTTTGGACAATAAGCATAATTACAGAAAAAAGTCAAGCGTTTATTCATTATTATTATTATTATTCTCTCATTTAAATTCAGATTTTAATAGAAAGCTCTACAATATAATGTTTGTGCATATACATTAGATTAGTCAGTACTAAAGCCAAATCTCGAGCTTATCTAACAAAATAAACTACAATAACAGTCCAAAAACTAGTGCACCCAAATGTATATGTTATAGAAAAATATTAAGTACAAATTATAAAAAAAGGAAAAATCAAGAGATACAAAAAAATATATCTTGAATTTAATTGTATTATCTTTCAATTTCTAAATATATTTATTGACTAAAATGTTATTTTAATAAATATATCTGTTTAATAAATCTGTTTTGTTTAAACGCAACAAAATACATTGTCTATATTCACTGAGAAATGGAGAAAAGTATTCATTTTCTAAATGGGCTGTACTCAATTAAGCTGGGCACTGTATAATGCATATTCTGATGCATCAGATTTTTGTCTGGAATAAAGTCTCTATAAAAATACCAAGAAAAAATACAACTAAATAAAATGTTTAAATTAGTTTTTAAAATTTGTCTTTTAATAATTCACATAAATTTAATTATTTAATGATTCAACATTAATCTAAATGTGTATACAGCGGTGTGAAAAGGTGTTTGCCCCTTACTGATTTCTTTTTTGCACGTTTGCAAACAATTGTAAATGTGGCAACCCTGATTAATAAACAATTAAATAATTGTAAATATTAGTCAAGGATAACAAAAAGGTAACAAAAATTGTATTATTCTCTAAGAGACTGAATCACACACTGACAAACGTAAAGATAAACTAGGTCGAATTTCATAACCTCAAACAATTTCAACATATCTCCTTTTATCCGTTTATAATAACTGAAATGACTATAAATGCTGAATTAACGCACTATATAAACATCCAATACTGTAATGCAGACGCGCCAGGCCCTTGGCCAAATATGGGAAAGACGACGCTCGAATTACACATTTATCATATAGCCTGCCTTCTATTGCGGAAATACAGGCGTAGTAACAGCAGAATCGTTCCTCGCGTCAGCCAATCACAGCTCGCCGTGGCTCATCGATTACAGAACGATTCGTTCGGTGAGAAAAACAACTCCAAAGCCACGCCTATTTCAGGCGTGCGCATGAGATACACTCAAGCCGAAAAAAGTTGCCCCTGGTCATGAAAAAAAAGCTATCGGAAGCTAGAGAGACTCCAGAAATCACTAAGAAAAATCCAGAGGGCGGACATTCCTTAGTGCCTGGAATTCGCTTTTCATCTCCTAAGCAAGATGGTTTTATCGCCCGAGCGAAGGGAGAATTTGTAGCTTAAATCCTGCGGATACAATCTGTTGAAGTTGTCTTGCGGGTTAGCAGTGGACTAAGTTAAGTTGTCTGACTTTCGAGGCGCTAACTTAGTACAAGAAGGCTAATTTACTCAAGGCGGCTGCGGAAGAGTTATCGGCGCTCACTGCTCAGACCAGCACGGTATGTTTTATTTCCCCTTCAGAGATCTCCTTTTGCCAATGTTATTGTTCTGTATAGATTGAAACATGGAGATAACGTTAGTGTTAACAAGTAGTCGCTTAAATCTATAACATAACCTAAAGTGGAGGTTTATAAACGATGCCAGGCCTTGTGCGGTATTAAACCTTAGTGCTCGATGGAGTATGTTTACTCCATTAAAACTATTTCAGTCGAGTAAGAATGCACGATTAGTATTGTTTATAACTTAATGTCATATATTTACAGGACTAGTAAGACCATGTCAACGGAAGAAAGATACAAGTTGGTGGTTGTGGGCGGTGGAGGTGTGGGGAAAAGCGCCCTCACCATTCAGTTCATCCAGGTAAAGGTGTTTTTGGGCACTTTTGTATGAAACAGAGATGTGTTTATGGCGTGATATCGGTGTAGTAATTATTACAGTGAGTGTGTTGTAAGAGTTGTGTGAAGTTCACAGTGCAGTTGGCTTTTCTCTGCATGTTCCTTCATGTTTAGTGAACAACTCTTTGTTTTCTTTCACAGTCGTACTTTGTGTCTGACTACGACCCAACCATTGAAGACTCTTACACTAAAATCTGCACCGTGGACGGGAAGGAGACACGATTAGACAGTATGTTGGTGTTAATGTGTTCTTTGTAGGAGGGAATGAGTGTTAAAAAGCTCCACAGGCTCCCTCAGCCGGGAGATTTTGGTCAGAGTTGCATCACTATGATTCATTGCTGACTACGGGTTCCTGCCCAGGTTTTGTTTTGACTTGCTGTCAGTACAACACCATGCCAGCTGTGCTTAAAGCTAGCTTTTAGTCAATCACCATCGCATTCTGTGTGCCAAAAATGTGATTCGTTTGTGTGGATCGTCTCATCTTGTATACAACCTGTATTTATCTGAGGTCTGTTTTGTTTTTGTCATTCCGCCTGTCCATTAGTCCTCGACACAGCAGGGCAAGAGGAGTTTGGAGCCATGAGAGAGCAGTACATGCGCTCTGGAGAGGGCTTCTTACTGGTGTTTGCTCTTAATGACAGTGGCAGGTAGGTGTTTTCCTGAGTGTGTGTGACAAAGGGGAATAGGTAGTTTTCTGTGTGACAGGAACAGAGAATGTATGTGGCTGTTTGTGTTATAAAAAGTAAACCACAAAATGTGTGTGTGTGATGAGAACCAGAGTGCAGGTTATGAGTGTTTATGTTATTAGGTGTGCAGACAGCTGAAGCGTGTTTTGTGGTAAATGTATAAATGTATATATAAATGTTCTTATTTTTTTTTCGATGTGGAAATGCTCACAGATGTGACTGCATTTTCAAAAAAAATCACTATATACAGTGCTAGGCATATATAAGTATATAACTCGCAAATCTTTTAAGTTCATATTTTTAATAAGAAGCTATACAATATTATATTTATGCATAAACATTAAAATACTGATACCAAATCTGGAGCCTATCTAATAAAATAACTTCCGATAAGGCTCCAAAAACTAGTACACCCAAATGTATATGTTATAGAAAAATATTAAATACAATTTAAAAAAAAAAAAAGAAAAATCAAGAGAAGCAAGAAATTTTGTAGGTTGTCTTTTTTTTTTTTTTTTGCTTGAATTTAATTTTATTATTTTTCAATTTCTAAATATGTTTGGTGACTAAAATACTATTTTAATAAATATATCTGCTTAATAAATCTGTTTTGTTTAAATGCACCAAAATAAATTGTTTATATTCACTGAGAAATGGAGAAAAATATTCATTTTCAAAACACTGTATGTGCACCTTTTGGGCTGCAATCAGTAAAGATAGTTGAACATTTATAGTATTTTCTTGTAAATGATGTGTGGTTTTGTTTATTTGTTTTACTTTTTTGCTTTCAAATTCGACATTAGATTAAAATTAGCAAGATGTCTACAGTAATTCAATATTTTTGCCTATAGACTAAAGGAAATATATGCACTCTGTTTTCGTTTTTATTTTATTTTTTTACAAAAAACTTTGAGCCTGGTTGATTTTTTTTTTCTTTTCTTTCTTTTCTTTTTTTTTTTTTTTTGAATATCTAATTGTTAAATATAAGTTTTATGTTTGTATTTTTTTAAGTGTATTCACAAGTGAATATCTGCTAAAACTTCTAATCATAAAAATATATTTTAACTAAAACTTTAAACCTCCTTTTGTACAGGCTCCCATAACACTGTTGACATGTAAATTAATACCAAACGTTTTGTGTTATTAACTGAAAATTGTGTTTTGCAAAGCTACTGCCATTTACTGACATTTTGTTTTAGAGTCATTTAGTTTTTATAGAAATTCTGCTACTTTTTATTTTGGTTCCAGAAGATATTTAATGTAAATGTAATCTGTAATTAATAGGATTTGAATACATTTTTTAATGTACAGGATAGACATGGGATGATAAAAGTTATTAAGTTATACCACAATTTGTAAAAGTCAAGGTTTTAAAACCGCCAAAATGTTCTGCTATACCTTTCCTAAGGTATATGTTTTTTTTTTTTGCAGTTTGTTTTAAGTATCTTAGGACAACAGTATCTCCAGCTGAAAATATCTCCTAAACACGCCTTTTCAGATTAAAACAAATTGTGTTTTTGAAACTAATGAAGACAGCAGAAGTCAATAATTCATTTGAATTATTTAGCCTGACATGTTTTCTGTAACAAAATACTTTAAATATTTCTCAAATAAAATATATTGTGTTCAAAGAAGGATAAAAAATGTAGTTTTTTCCCAGACATTTAAGATGAACATATTTTAGAGCAGGAATCACAATACTGTAAAAACATGATATTTTTATTTAAGATTATCATACCGTCAGAATCTTATACCGGCCCATGCTTAATGCAAGATCCAGATAAAATTCAGCAATAATGATTATCCATAAACTCTGTGTTTTTTGGATATATTTGTGTCCATATAGCTCAAAGGGCTATCATGCTAATGAGTTTTGTTAATTCGCTCTTTTTCAGTTATAACGAAATTCAGAAATTTCACACTCAGATATTACGGGTTAAGGATCGAGATGACTTTCCTATGGTTCTTGTTGGCAACAAATCAGATCTTGACCAGCAGAGAGTGGTAATGTTTCCATGTTGTGATTAGACCTTTTTTTTAAACTGCAAAATCCCCCCAAAAAGCCAACCAGTCCTTTATGTTTTGTTTTATTAATGTATAGATCTCAAAAGAGGAAGCCATGACGTTTGCCCGAGAAAACAGGATCCACTATATGGAATCATCAGCCAAGAACCGTCACAACGTGGATGAAGCCTTCATGGAGGTTGTGCGAGCAATAAGGTATCTAAAATGGAGAAGTGCACTCATGAGGTTGAAAGTGTAGTGCATTGTGATGAAGTTGCATTACCATTTCTCTGCAGGAAGTTTCAGGAGACAGAGAGTCCACCGCTTCCCGCTAATCATACAGGGAAGCAGAAGAGTGGTGGCTGTCCCTGCACCCTACTCTGACTGGCCCTCCGTACTGTTGCCTAGGAGACTGAAGCCCTCACTCTCACGCCTGGTGCCTTATGTGTGTGTGTGTCTGAGTGTGTGTGTGTGTGTGTGTGTGCGCGCACTGTATGCATCAGTGTTAGTGGCTTTTACAGTATGTGTGTATGAATGGGTTGCCAAGGAGAAACTAGGCTATATCAAACAAGAGTGAATGTGTTGGAAATGGGGACCTTAGTTCTTATTTTGTTTTTATTTTAGTGCCTATAGCATCATGCTCTTGATTTTAGAGTTCAGCACAGTATTTTGTTATTTCCATCATGGTATGAGGTCAGGGTCAGATTGTGTGCCACAATGGCATCTTGTTTTTAAATCGTTCACCACAGAGATGATGAATAATAGTGACAATGTGTATTTCAACAACCACATCAAACAAATCTTTTAGATGCTTCTGGCGTCAACTCGATGTCATACACATTGTGTTATTGACTCTCAAAGACAAGCCAGAAAATATTTTATTTGCTCAGTTCAGCACGTCCTCTCTCTCTCTCTGGGGATTCATTTAGTCGGCGAAACTGCACTGAAACGGCTGATCTAGACTCTACACCTTGTTGCTCATCAGAAGCTTGGAATATATTCAGCCAGCTTGTTTTCATTAATCACTTTCTGATAATGCGATGTGGGTAGACTAAGACAAGGAGTGGTTTTAATAATTGAGTATTTTTAGAGGAGGAGGGAGGAGAAGTAGTGTTAAAACAGTGGGTCCAGAATCTGCAATGCTTGTATTCATAAAAACCAAAGACTATACTGTATTTGTTTGCACACCAGCTTTGTCTTAGTAGTTTTCCAAGGTAGTTTAACACTAAATGGACAATTTGTGTGGGTTTTATTGTGGAATTGTTTTGGTCTGTTGCTTGTTTTTAATTTCAATTTGAAGGTACTTGTATTTCTTTGTGTGTGTGTTTGTGTGCAGAATAAGGCAGTCTGTCTCCGGGTTCACATGTTATTGTATATAACATGCTTGTGATTTTTGCACCTTCGTTTGTAGACAGGGATGAACAAATGTATACAAAGGATATGCCAAATGAATTTCCTAAAAAGCATGATGTTAACGATCAGTGTTGTGAGGGAATGAGTCACACTCTGTCTGTATATGGGTAGACCGCCATAGTTTAGGGTGAGAAAAAACATGACTAGGTGTTTCTCCTTAGTCACACTATAGCAGTTCTTGCGGTATACCTGCCTCTCGAGTTGCTACACACAAATTATGGCCTGTAATCAAGGGATATAGATTTTTTATTTTTGAATTTACAAACTAGGACATATTCTGTCGTAAGTCAGGTTTGTCAGCTGCAAATAAGAACAAAGCACTATTTAATTTCGCTGTGTTACAAAATCAGCCAACATTGTGTCAATGGACTTCATTCAAAACTTTTCAATAAAATTTCATTTCTTAAGTCGGATCATTTCAATTGTTTTTAAATTTAAGCTATTTTTCTTGGCTCTGGAATCTGGAGGGATGACAGACTCCATTTACTTTTCAATTTTTGTATCTGTATCTAACAATATTCTTTTGTACACAATTAAAATGTCTTTAAACCATCTTTTGTGAAATAATTTGTGCTTATATATTTTTAAGAGATTCGTTTGGGGTAGTTATAGTTTGTCCTTTGATGAAATCTGTCTTGCAACAAATAAAAATAAACAACATGTAATGTAAACAATACCAAAAATCAGTGGCATTTAAAAGAAACTATGTATTTTACAATTTAAAATGGGGTGTCATGGTGCCACAGTGGGTAGCATGATCGCCTCACAGCAAGAAGGTCACTAGTTTGAGCCTCAGCTGGGTCAGTTGGCATTTCTGTGTCGAGTTTGCATGTTCTTGCTGTGTTTGTGTGGGTTTCCTCTGGGTGCTTCGGTTTCCCCTACAGTCCAAAGAGCAATCTGGGGGGATATGTCCCCCTCAGTTTTAGAGACAGATCATTTAGAAATGGGTGATTAATAACAAAATAAACCTAAAATCCCAGACACGCATACACACACTTTTAAAATGTCCTCTACGCCCCTGGCTATGGGTGAATTGGGTAAGCTAAATTGCCTGTTGTGAATGAGTGTGTATGGATGTTTCCCAGTGATAGGTTGCAGCTGGAAGGGCACCTGCTGCGTAAAACATGCTGGAAAAGCTGGCAGTTCATTCTGCTGTGGCAACCCCTGATTAATAAAGGGACTAAGCCAAAAATGAATGACAATTTAAAATGGCAATAGATACATAACTATAATTAAATAATAATTTATTCTACATTAATGAACTCTATATTGTTTCCTTGATAGCAGTAACTCACACACTGGTGCTAAAATAGGACTGGGCATTTTTTTTGATAACACTATAGCCTACAACAATTGAACTGCTCTGCATATGTGAGGTGAAGGTAAAAAAAATAACCCCAGAGGAATCTACCACCGCGAGAAGACAACACTGAAACGTAAATTTAGACTGTTTCCTGTCGTTTTGAAGCGCTATTATCTGAGTAGTATCACCTGTACAGGACTCAACTTCATCAGAAGCTCATCTCAGGTCGGCTCCCGCGTGGAAGAAATGAAGAGGCCCATTCATAACCTGCGAAAATGACGGTTTATCCAAACGAGACTCAATGAACTGGAAAAACCGGAAGCTGTTTAATCTGACCGTAAATGTGATTTTGTTTTAAATGACATTAAAAGTCTAAATTATTATAACGGCATTGAAGAAACTACGGACACTAAAGACGTTTGGCACTAAAGACGAGTAAAGCACGCTTGTTTTTGGAGGCGTTAAGTGTCGCCACACCTCTAAACGCCCGCGGCTGTGAGGTGAGGTATGTTGTCAAACTGGAATGTCGCGTACGTGATGAGTTTCGCTGTAAATGAAACAGGTGAATGTGAACGAAGTTTTAATCAAAACCCTCGAATATGCGAATTCTTGGTAGTGACCATCTAGATATAACAGTTTACACCACCAAGACGGGAAATCTCTGGAGAAGTCTGAAAGCGTTTTAGCCTATGGTTTTAGCCCTCAAGGTTTACTTGTCCGGAGCACTAGAGAGAATAAAGAAGGTAAGCGGGCGTTTACCTGCGTCGTTTGTCTTCAGACGCAAAGGCAGTAGTTTTACTTTCTTTTTTACGTTTTGTTGTGTTTGTGGAACAGCATGTCCGAAACAATCTGCAAATACGCACTTTTTGTATGTTTGTTTAATGAAAAATGCCTTTTGTCTTTCTCTCGCACTGCTGCTGTGTTGTCAGTGTGTGTCGATATAAGTTTACGTGTCGAAAGTGTCACTTGTCAAGTTTTATGTGTATTAAGACTTGTAACTTTTAAATGTATAAAATTTAATAATTCCTAATAATAATTGCAGTGACTGATAGAGGACGATATTGTAAAAGCCTTTTGAGTTGAACATAATTGTCCATTAATTTGTTTGTGTGTGTGTGTTTGTGTGTGTGTATGTGTGTGCGCGCTCACAGGGTTGGATTTAACCAATAAGCAAGATAATCGGCCGCTTTGGGCCCCCAAATAAATACTTAGAAGTATAAAGTATACCTATAACTTTTATATAACATAGTATCCTGTCATATTTTGTATGATCAGTCTCTAAAAAAATAAATAAAAGTTTAATGTTTATTACATCTGAGCAGATGTATCCCCCGCCCTCAATCATGGAGAAGTCCAGGATTCAAATTAGGTAAAGATTTAGCTTTAAAAACAAAATAGTTTAGATATATTATTAATTCATTTTAAGAAAACAAATCATTTTAAAAGTTTTACAAGATGCCTTACATGCTGTTATTATTATTTTGCAATAGGACACAATGTAGAAAAAGAGTAATTGAGTAATATAAGAGAGAAAAACGGATAAATAAATAAATCCTTTAAAATAAATTGAAGTACAAAAGGTGGATTTTAGAACTTTTGGGCCCCATAGGTGGAATTGCTTAGTGCCCCTTAAATCACTAAATCCGCCCCTGTGTGTGTATGTATTACCACTTGGCAGATTGTAAAATGGTTTACTGTATTTATCAGATATGGGATTGAGACACATGTTGATATCTTTTCTTTTTTTTTTCTTTTAGCCTGATAAGATTTTTCCCCAAGTGTAATTAAGATGGTAGTTGTTTTGTGCAACGCAAAATACTTTAAATGCCAATATAGTCCTGTGTTTGAATAAAACATGTTTTATTTAGAAAACTGCTGATGACATTTCTTCCATATATTTGGAGGAAAGACTCTTATTTTCAGTCCTATCACACAAAATAGGCCTACATGCTCTGACCAGTTGTCAATTTTATGAAAAAGGAAAGCAAATGTTTCAAATTTCTGTTTTTATCGGAAGTCTTCAAGAAATGTTCTGTATATAATACTTATTTTAAGCTATATTTTACTTAAACCAAATATCTTGCATTTATTTAAACTCTTTATTATTTCCATAGCCATAGGTCCTCCATATCCACAAAACACTGACTCTTATAATATTCTTTTGAACAGGTATAATGCTGGGGTTCTCAGTAATATGCTTGAGCTTACTATCCCTGCTGCATCTTGTTTGGGGCAGAGTGATTTACAACGAAAATGATGGTAAGGATAAAAACTGAGACGCTTTTTAAAAGCACAGTGTGAAACCTTGATATCATCTTTTATTTTTGCTAATCCATTAGATGTTTTTTGTTGTTTTCCCTCATTTTGCACTTATGTAAGGAAGTAGACTACTTCTGCATACACCTGATGTGTAGTTTAGGTTCATTAAAACATTATTTCATGCCCTGAAAGCAAAATTATATACATTTTTATTATTTACTGCAATTTCTTTACTTCATACTCTACTGTTCTTGCTGTCTGTGAAAAGACATTATTAAATGCATTTGATGGTGCATTAAAGGATTGTGGCATGTAGCTAATCCTCATTATGATCAATATTTGCTTGTGTTTGTCAGTTTTCCTTGAAGAGAAGTCAGCAGGTTCATTTCTGTCCCGTAAACTGTTGTATAACAGTTGGGATTTCGAGGCAGTGGTGCCTGGCAATCTAGAGAGAGAATGCATCGAGGAAATCTGCTCGTATGAAGAGGCCAGAGAAGTGTTTGAAGATGACAAAAAGACGGTAAGAAAGACATGTGATAACCAAAATAATATCATGATATTGGTGTGTAAAAGTTTGGGATCCCCTTGCAGAATATGTGAAAATGTAAGTATTACAAAGATGTGATGTGTGAAGATTAGATTTTACACAGTGCATGATATCTTTGTATTTAAGTACTTGAATATGTTTATCTTCTGTAAATTTTTCCTTGATGTGTTTTCCTGGAGCATCATTGAACATTTGGTAAAACAATTCTCAATCATTTTCTAACGTCTGAAGAGCTGTTGTGAATTGAGGAAAAAAACAATCAAATAAGAAAAAATGGTTATTTCTATCCTGTACATTCTTGATGTGTTCTGGAGCATCATTGAACATTTGATAACCGTTTCTCAGTAGTCTAGTTTGAGTCCCTCAGTTGTCCTCCGTGTGAAAGATGGTTCTCAAAATCATAGTCTCTATTGGAAAGGGTTCAAGTATGCCAAAGATGCGAGAGGGTGCTCGCTGCAGAGCCATTTGAGCAGAGCTGAGCTCCAGCGAGGGGGAGTATGAGCTCTCGCTCTGCCTCCTGTAAGCTGTTTTAATGCGTACACCAACCCCACCCCTAACCCTACCCCCAGTGACATCACTCGTAGAAGAAGTGCAAAAAAGGTGGAGCTCAAGCTCCCCCTCGCTGGAGCTCAGCTCGCCCAAATGGCTCTGCAGCGAGCACCACTTGAAAGATGCTGGAAAACTGAAGAATCTGCAGGACATATTTGATTGTGTATATCTATTTGTCTTCTAACAGGCAGCTTTTTGGAAAGACTACGTCAACAGTCATCGTAAGTGATTATATTTTCCTGTTAAAGTAACATACTTGATATTTTATAGATTTAGCTGAAGATTCAACATATAGATTTTTGAGATTTCTAATAAAATAATTTTATCGTCCAAAATTGAACAAATAAGTGCTTGGGGGTAGCTTTAATGTGTCTGTGCTCTTTGGGCAAAGGATTCATCAGAATAAACAGCAAAAATCAGTCCAAGGCACTCAAATGTGCAAAGTATTAAAAAGCCTTTATTCACATGGCTAATCCTTAAAAACCTATGCGTTTAGGCAGAGAGCTGCCTTCATCAGGGTAACAGTCATCAGGTGCGTCTGGAGTTTCTTTTAAATGCTATTGTCTCATGACTCATTAGAATATCTAAACCAGGGATCACCAACCCTGTTCCTGGAGATCTATCTTCCTACAGATTTTAGTTGCAACCCTGACCAGACGCAGCTGTCTGTAATTATCAAGTGCTGCTTTAGGTTCTATTAATTGGTTCGGATGTGTTTAATCACGGTTGCGGGTGTATTCTGCAGGAAGGTAGCTCTGCAGGAATAGGGTTGGTGGCCCCTGATCTAAACAATACTAAAATAATATATTAAACTAGGTCAACTCAACAATGTGTTTTGATGTACAAAAAAAGGCACACAGATGACAACATTGCATTGTCCAACCAACGTATGTTCACATGGACTTGTGTGTAATTTACTATAGGCCAGTTTTTAATGTAATAATAGTAATAATGCACATTGTTACAGCACGGTTTGACCAAGTTAAATTTAAGACATGTTTAAGAACACTATAATGAATTTAATGAAATTTTAGACTCATACAGGGCTAAATGCCAAGGATTTCTTTTTATACCCCCAGTGGGAAAAGGTTTTCACTTGCCCTATCTAAAAATGATTATTAATCTAATACATTTAATAATACAATAATAATAATTTAATTATGAAAAGCAATGGGTCAGGTCAGTATCCTAACAAGTAAATTAATAGTGAACTTTTAAACAAACGTTACTCTAAGGAAAGTAATTAAATGCTATTTATTTTTATTGTATGCCCACATTACACAATTTTAACATCAAATGTATAATTGTGTTACAAAGTGTACAGTCGTGAAAATGGAAAAAACAAAGAAACTAATATAAAAAACATAAATAAATAGATAAAAATAAAGTACAATGCATCATCTAAGAGCAGTCTTTAAGTGTAGATTAAACAAAAATAGTAAATAAATAACAAGGATCCTGCGTTAATTTAAGAGAGCTCTCTTATGTATTCTCAAAGGGGAGACCAAATTAATCAGAATCTGTCAGATTTTTTTATGTTTGTCATAGGTACGTTTTTCACATGGTAGCCATGTAGCAATTTGTGATATCCACATATTGAAAGATGAAGCCTGTGATGCAGACCAAAGAAGCAAAATGCATATTTTAGCTAAATATACCAGGACAATTATTAACTGTAATGCATCTTTTTCAAACAGAATTTTTGCATTCAGATTCAATAAATACAAAGCTGGGGTCATATCAAAATTTAGCTTGAGAGTATTTTCCAGTACCTTATGTATTTTCTTCCAAAATGGCTAAATTTTCTCACAGTCCCAAAAACAATGAATGAATGTACCTTTTATCTTTTTTTACATTTTAAACACAAGTCTGTGGCATTGGCAAACATGTTCTTAATACGTATTGCTGTTAGATATATCCTATTAAAAGATTTTTCATTGAGCTCATGGATCCCAAGAGAGGTACTTTTCTGGTATTTATTGTCATACAATGTCCCAGTCATTCTCTTCAATTTTTAAACAATATCCTTCTCCCAAACATCCTTAAATCCAAGCCAGGCATAAGTGCAATTGTTAGACAAAATTACATAAATCCTTGTTATCAATCTTTTTAAAGAAGCTAGAGTCAGTAAAAGGTATTCGATCTCCGTTGTTTTGTTAAAAGAAAGTGGGGAAGACAAAAAAAAAGGGGTAGAAATTCCCAAATACAGTTGAAGTCAGAATTATTAGCCCCCCTGTTTATTTTTTCCCCAATTTCTGTTTAACGGAGAGAAGATTTTTTTTAACACATTTCTGAACATAATAGTTTTAATAACTCATTTCTAATAACTGATTTATTTTATCTCTGCCATGATGACAGTAAATAATATTTGACTAGATATTCAAGATTTCAAGACACTTCTAAACAGCTTAAAGTGACATTTAAAGGCTTAACTAGGTTAATTAGGTTAACTTAGCAGGTTAGAGTAATCAGGCAAGTTATTGTATAACAATGGTTTGTGTATATATAGCTTAAAGGGGGTAATTTTAATAATAAAAAATTAAAAACTGCTTTTACTCTAGACAAAATACAACAAATAAGACTGTCTCCAGAAGAAAAAATATTATAAGACATACTGTGAAAATTTAACTGCATGCTCTGTTAAACATAAAAAAAATATCAAAAATTAAAGGGGGGCTAATAATTCTGACTTTAACTGTATGTCTTTACATCTTTCCAAGTTCTAAGAGTATTTGATATGATAAAATAATCTGAATTCTTTTTACATTTTTTTATAATTCTTAACAAATGGCAAATATTTAATTGGTAAAGGGGAGCAAAGTGCTTTTTTCATCTTAAACCAAATAGAGTTTGTCCTCGCACTACACCAGCTAATCATATTTTTTATTTGGGCTGCCCAATAATAAAACTTAGGATTTGGCAAGCCATTAAATGCTATTTTTAAATAAAGTTAAAGGTTTGGCATTGTAGGTGATTGTACAGGTGTTATGGCCAGAAATGTGTGCATAAACAAGGGAAATTAAGACTTTTTAGAAAAAGATTTAAGACTTGTAACGCAATATGCCCATAGATTTAAGACTTTTTAAGGCCAAAAATTTAGCTTTTAAGACCCTGCGGATACACACCAGCACAAATATGCATCCTTCTTCAGCAAAGTGCATGAAATGTTTTCAGCTTCCAGTTCAAAAGTGCATTGTGTAAACACCTTTATTTAGATTAAATACGAAAGCAATATATGAGCATTTGTTGCCAATGCCAAACTAATTGATTGACTTCCACAGAGAAGTTGACTGAAGTTGATGTGGCTGGTCTGTCAGCTGGCATCGTGGCTGCTGTATTGGTAGTGGTTATAGCCACTGTGCTGGGCGTTTATTGCTACAAGAACAGAGGCAAAAATGCAAGAGGGGGCAGGTAAGTGCATGCTATCATTACCACTGTATGTGATGTGTCTTTTATGTGGCAATCTCCCTCTAATGGATGCTGCATCTCCACAGTGTTCCTGTGCAAATGGGAGAGGACGGGCGGCCAGTTCCTGAATCCGTGCCCCTGTCTGGTATTGTGCCTGCAGGTCTCCCCTCATACAATGAGGCTCTGACCCACAGTGGCCAGCATGACGCACCTCCACCGCCATACTCCGGGTAAAAGCAGCCTGCTTATATATGCATAGTGTATACCTGCTGCAAAATGTGAATGTGTTTTAAAATATCCCTCTCTGCTCTTTACAGGACGACTCCAACTGCACCACCGTAATCTCAAAATGAGGAATGAGCAATGATTTTTTAAAGAAAAATTTTACGAGTTGGATTTTATTTCACTGGTGAACGGAGTGCGCGGCTACATTGAGGCTTCGAGATGGTGGTCATGCGCCACAGACAAATGTAGTTTCAGTCACTGTTTGGCTAACTTATTCCACTTGGGCTGTCTGTTTAGCGGCTTGCCTTGTTTATTACATTATTTTGCTACCAAAGGTTTTATTGTGAATTGCCAATGTTTTCATGAATCAAGTTTGCGTCATCTTTAAATAGTTGTTTAGACATTTTAAATGTTCATTGTTAATAAAAATAACTAAACAAGCCTTGATTGGGTTTGACTGGTCGTTGGACTGTGTAAAGGCACGCGCGTGACCCCTCCAATCGATTCCAGAGTGTTTGCCATTAGCCGCTGTTGTCACTCATCATCGGCTCTATCTTCCCCAGTATCACAGAGAGCACTAGAGAGCGTCCATTCCTCACTCACTCGGTAGTGCCTCTGTGCTGTAACAAGGCGGCAGTGCGCACGAGACTTCCAGACAGCCTGCGTATGTGTGTGTGAGAGAGTGTGACAAGTCGGCAGAGGGGGGGCGTGCGCGCGCGTGTGTGCGCGAGCCTGTTAGTTAGTTCACTCATGAAAATGGCGTCTTTTTGGACAAATACCTGAAAATAAGTACTTCAAACCTATACGCCGTAGCGTTTATTTGAGGTTTCGAATAGAAATAATGCACATTTATAGTAAATTTATAGAATTTAATGTGCCTGGCGACGACAAACCACTTTTTTTCTGACGAAATTCGCCCATGATGTAAATATTTGGGGCGCAACAGCTGTATACAAACGCGCACTCGTTAGACTGCTATTTATAGAGCCCTAGTACATCTCACCTTTTGTGTGGCAATGCAGTAGGCGAAGAACTAAGAGGAAACAGGGTACAGTCAGCACGTGTCGTACGTCTCGTGGGTGTAGCGAGCAATGGCATCAGGATTCGACATGCAGAGCTTCAGCCGCGCCGCTGTTTCTGCCGCGAAGGACAATAGGCATCGAGATATATAAGAGGGCAACAGAGGGGAGGGAAGGAAGAAACCGGATTTTTTGTGGTGGCGGTGGTTGGTGTAATACTTCACCCCCCCTCCCTCCCCGCCTCCCCTCTGTATCCTCCATCTCCCCCTCCTCCTTCTCCTCCCTCCATTCCTCTCCCCCTCTGTGCTGGTCCTATTCTTGAGGACTTGCTTGTGAAACGGGAGAGATAAACAGACATTGAGCGCAGAGGAAAGGACACGGGGAGAGATAGTGTGTTAGAATTTTAGGAAATACCTCCCTCCCCTTTCCCCTGTCTATCTCTCCATCTTCATCCCTTGTCTCTTCTTTTAATGGATAGAAATTATCCTGGCACAGGATTCGGTGATCTGGGCGCTGGAACGGGATGGAGTTACGAGAGATCGGCGAAGGCAAGGTAAGGGCGCCCGTGGAAGTCCACTTCCATGCACTGGCTGCATAAATGCGCTTAGCTGGCTGTAACAATGCCCATGCCGACGGACGGACGGACGCTGTGCAATGCATGTTCTCCCACTCTCGCTCCCAGTGCTGAGTTCATTCACTTGCATGCGCTATATTGTCGCTGGCTCCACGTACAGCCATCGGTATTGTCATTTCTGAGGGAGGAGGGGGTGTCTTGAAAATGCAAGGAATGCGATTGAGAGTTAATGCGTGATACGGAAGGTAGACTGAGACAGAAAAAAGGGGGAGAGGGGCGAAAAGAGGGGGGATGGGATGATGTTGCTAGCTAGCTTCAGCTTGCTAGCGTATTATCAAAAATGAAAAATCAAGCCTTCTGCCTCGGAGGCGCACCAAACCGGACATTGCACGCCGTGCTCGCATACACGCTAATTCGGTGTGGCGAGTAATGCGTGGCACAAAATGCACGTTGACAAAGCGTTATTTCAGAGGCGACCAATTACGAGCAACCCCATGTATTTGGGGATGAAATGGTCGCTAGCTACAATATATGCAGCTTATCTCCGCGGCTAACGGGTATTTGTCTGTAAAAATCGCCAAGATTCTGTTTTGTCTGCTACTAAATAATATATATTTTTGAATAATGTGTTTTAATGTTAAATGTCACAATGCAGAGGTGAAGTTACTGAGAGTCCACGCGCATTATTCAGTGACACATGTCATAACACTGCCTGTGTACGAAATACCAAATCAACAACTAATGTAGCTTAGTGTCAGACTCTGCACGGTAAATAAGAGAACTTTGCATAACCTGATTGCTTCTCTTATAATCTAACAGGAAAAAAGGGTCGCCACTGTTTTTGAGGATACCGTCGTTTGGCAGCGCACCAAATGTGTGTGTGTAGTGTGTAGTGTTCCTGACTGAAATTACAGCGTGACCGAGACGTGCACACTGTAAACACAAACGTAAGACGCAGTGCTAACGTATTCAACTAAGAGCTCTCAAATGTGACCGATTAATATTGTAATATGTGTAAAATATAACGCATAGAAAAGCGTATTAGGAGAAACAATTTATTTTTTTAACTAATTATTTATTTAGTTTCACATAGTTGTTAATTTCAATAAAGAGCCACGACATTTTGAGAAATGTGCCACATTATAATCTCAAATTAGTGTTAAAATGATCTGTTTCTACCTGAAAACGGGAGTGTTTCAGATCGTGCTCTCGGTGTACGTTCAACCGTGTTCCACTATTTTCGCGGCCTACTTACAGTTCAAAGGCGCCCGGCTATGTACGTTATCAGTCGCCGTGACAACCAAATCAATCTTAGCAGCTTACAGAGCGCGCATGCAATCATTCTTGGTGGCGTTAGTGTCTCGCGGTGCATGCAGGGAGTCAGTGGTACATTGGCTGCACACCTACAGCATACTTTCATCTATTGTTATATGGGGAGCTTAGTAAAATGCTAAAGTAGAAAGTGTCTAATAATTTTGGTGTGATCTGTAATTGAGTGAAGTGTGGGCTAATAGTGTCCACGATTGTAGTGCTTATTTTATGTACAGAAAAATATAAAACAATTATTATAGCTTTTTTGTTTGTCAGGTGGAAATCTGGTGCCTTGTCATGTCAGATTGAGAAGTCTTGCATCATTTGTGCATTTATGAAACATTTCAAGTGTGGATGCCTTTTATTCTTAGTGTGCATGCCTAGGCGACATCAGGGCGGCCAGACACTCCTTGTTTGTATGAAGAATTCCTTTCATGACTTTTTATGAAATCATACAATTACGAATGCTGTCTTGTGGTTGAAGTTTTTGTAACAGGTTACATTCCAGCAGTGTTTGGATATGCAAAGCTGCATCAGTATCTCTGACTGACTCTCAGTCTTAGCAAGCAGGAGGAGGAATTTTCTGCCGTCTTCTTTAATATTGTTTTTCTGACTCAAGAGCATCTCTGTAGACTCACAGGCAGATTGATAGAATCCAGAATCTTAATGAGGAGTTCAGGCTTATGATGATGGACAAGCTTCAGTGCTGCTGCTGCTGCTGCAGAGGCTGAAAGCATCCGCCGGATAAAACGAAATGAAATGCTTTTGTATTGAATCTTCTCTCTTCTGGTTTCCCCAAAATTGCTTCTGCTTTTGAATGAATATTAGATGGTGAAACGGCCGCTTTGGGTCATTGGAAGCATAGCCATTAGATAATGATGAAACACCAAGAAGTGTTAAATTAGCATAAAATGAAACCAAATGACACCGGGGTCTGTGTCGGACAGCACATTTTACAATATTGATTCATATGAATGGGAGACGTTGTTGCATGTGTTAATATTAAATGAGAATAAACATAAAATAATGGCGCTGCTGCCTGCCTGTGCACAAGCTGCACATTATGTCTTGGTTATGAAGCTGAGAAAGGCGTACTATGAGTCCATAATGGGAAGGTTCATCAGGTCCTGTGTCCTTCTTAGGGCAGCGTACATCCGCTACACACCTCTGCACGCTTCTAATGGAGATTAATGGCCATGACTGAGTTGCCCATCAGCCTGTAAACATTTTGCACCTGTTGGGGGGGGACTGTGTTGAATTATTGCCTATATAATTAGCAGCAGACTTGTACAGTGGTTTCAATTAAGTCTTCCAGTTTAACCCTTCCTTTATATTTTTATTGCTGTTTGTTTATTTTTCACATTTATCCTCTTTACCTGTTGTTTCTTTTTATCCATTGTCAAATCACGTCTAATTAGCTGAAAAACACAGACAATGGCAGGAGGTGCGAAGTTTAACAGGATGAATTAATTGACTGAAGGTTTAAGGCAGCATGATGTAACAAAGTGAGAACGGAGAGCAGAGGTTGAGGAAGAAATGATTGGATGGAAGCTTCAAAGGGTTATTATTATTATTTATTGTTTTTTTTTTTGTTTGCATAGAATAAACGAAACAAAGTACCTTTAATTTTAAGGCTCTTCTAGGGCTGTACGATATGGCCAAAATGTAATCTCGATAATTATTTTCCATATTGAACGATAACGATATATATCTTAAAATCTGTTGTTAATTCTTTCAGATTTAAGAGTAACCCAACAATGATTAAAGCAACTAAAATTAGAGAGTTCATTTAATGTTTCATAAAGTTTTCGGCCGATTAATTTGGATGAAAATTTGGTGCATCTCTAATATCAACCCACTTTTAGATTCTCATTGTTGCACATTTCTGCTGTGTGATTGCCTCTTAGATCAATATAGCATAAAAAGTCCAGAGCTGATCAAAGAGTATGTTTACAGGGACACCAATAGTCTGATTTTAATATAATTAAGACAATACTCTGATTAAGAGTCTACCATGTACATAGTTATTTTTGATTTAATCCGATTAAGGTCATAATCGAACTAAAGAGAAATCAGATAAAGACTTGTGGAGTATGCTGATTATAGTCACATTATAGAAGGTGTAAACCTCACAATCAAACTATTACCATCATATAGGACTTTTCGCTGCATTTTGTGACAGGATAGTCCGCACACACACGCACACTTGGCTGTTTGACACTATTATTTGCACCTACTGAGTCAGTAAAGACCACAGACACGTACACCGCAAAAGGCGGAGGTTGTCTCCCATTCAGCGTGCGGTATGAAATTCCATTAAAACAACTTTTCCAACAGTTCAAACTCGCATCCAATATCTGGTTTGTCACAGGGGGCAAGCATGAAATGATCCTGAATGAAAGTGAAAGTGCCAAACTGCAGTTAAAGTCAACAAATTAAAAACAAAACACCCGAAATTACATGAAACTTTGGAGGAAATGTGGATAGTGTGGTGATGCTATGACATTAATTATATGTGCTGTAACATGTGAAACAGGATCCTGAAATGAACATTCAAAAAGCAGCTCATGTAAACACCTTAATTATATTATTGTCTCATTCAGACTAAGGCAAATCATTTGATTACTGATGTCCATGTAAACATAGTCATTGTTATTGATCTAAATTTTATTGCAATTCGATATAATATCGTTTATTGGCCCATCCCTAGGCTCTTCATGGAAAAGCACAAGTCAATAAAAAAAAAAAAAAAACACGATTTTTATATTTTTTTTAAAAGTGTACATCTGGTCCAAATGCATACAATTTAAATTTTGTATATATATATTTTTTTTACAAAAAAAAAAAAAAAAAACGTGCATAAACTAGAATAGAAACAAATTTAACAAATAAATTCCAGCATGCAGATCAAATGCATGGCCATATTCTCTTGCAAAAAGTCAGTCACAGTATCTTTGTTTCAAGGCATGTGATTGGATACTGACGTGTCATAAATATTAAATTTCTACCACTGTAGTTGAGGTTGAGAAAAATAATAAAGTTTCTGTTTTAAAATTCATGAAAATAAAAAAAAATTGTATAATTTTTATTATTATTATTATTATTATTATTATTATTATTATTATTATTATTATTATTATTATATTAAACCAAATATATGGGTGGGAATAAGAGACCACTTCTTTGGATTTATTAGGTTTGGCTTTGAGTAAAGTTTAATATTTGTTTTTTTGTAATTGCCAGATACCATTTCTTTTAAATGTTAAATAAAAACACATTGTCTTTTAGAGCACTGTCATACAGAAATGTTTTGAGATTGTGATTGAGAATTAGGTTTACTCTACCAAGTTTTGATTTTGTAACTCTTATGAGGTTGAAACATCAGTGTTGTGTTGTCTAAATAAATATTAACATGACTGAAAAGATGTCACCTTGTTTGTTATTTTAAGCAAAAATAATTATCTAAAATGACAATAAACAATATGGAAGAAATGTCAGTAGTTTACTGAGTAAATTGAAATTTTACTCAAATGCATGATTTTCAGTCTTAAATCCAGACATACTGAGAAATTGTCTCTTAATTTTTACCACTGCTGTAAATTTGGCACAGCATTAGATGTGGAAACTGTATAAAGATTGTCACGTTTTTCACAAATGTGAGCTCCAGTCCTTCTGTCATCAAAGTTAGCATCACGTGGAAATTCCTGTCTTCCCTGCTGAGATTTATCAAGTGAAATACAATATTAAAGAATAAAAATGTTGTTTTTTGTTAATTGTTGTGAATGACAGGTTGCTGGAGAAGAAATGTATAGCCTTCAGCCCAGTGCACGCGTCCAAAGACAGGATGTAATTGTGTTTTTGACTGAAGACTATAAGGACACATGGATAAACAAACAAATTACACACAGTTGAAGTCAGAACTATTAGCTCTCCTTTAAATTTTTTTTCCTTTTTTAAATATTTCCCAAATGATGTTTAACAGAGCAAGGACATTTTCACAGTATGTCTGATAATAGTTTCTCTTTTGGAGAAAGTCTGATTTGTTTTATTTCGGCTATAGAATAAAAGCAGTTTTTAATTTTTTCAAAAACATTTTAAGGTCAATATTATTAGCCTCTTTTTTTCCCGATAGTCTACAGAACAAACCATCATTATACTATTATGACTTACCTTATTACCCTAACCTGCCTAGTTAACCTAATTAACCTAGTTAAGCCTTTAAATGTCATTTTAAGCTGTATAGAAGTGTCTTGAAAATATATAGTAAAATATTATGTACTGTCATCATGGCAAAGATAAAATAAATAAAAGAAAAAGTTAAGAAAAAAGTTATTAGAAATGTGTTATTAACTATTATGATTAGAAATGTGTTGGAAAAATCCTCTCTCCGTTAAACAGATATTGGGGAAAAATGAACAGGGAGGCTAATAATTCAGGGGGGTTAATAATTTTGACTTCAACTTTGTATCGTGTATATATATCATTAATAATCAACGTAAGTAAATTTAATACTAAAAACATGCACTATAAAATGAAATAACAATCAAACGATAAAAAATGTTCTGCATTAAAGCTCATAGCTTTAATAATTTTATAATTTGTTAGAGAATATTTCTTAAAAAACACCAGGTTGCCTCGTTTTTCAATATACCTAACTATTCTGACGTTCGTCATCTGTTCGTTCATGTTTGATCTGCCACATTGGAATTAAAAGCCTACTATTACTTAATTCTTATCAATCCTCATCTCACCTAGAAGTGAAACTGCTTCCTTTTGTTGCGCCAAATTATTATATTACATACATGGATAGTTGCGTTTGAAGAGACAGTACTGATGCTATGATGCATTAATTATTTAAGATAACACGTTCAGTAGCAGGAGAAACATCTGCCTGTCAGGACTTATCATATGTACTTTTTTTGTGTAATTAACAAGATTCACATCCAATTTATGACTTGATTCTATCGCTAAACTTTATTCTAATTCTTTTTTAATGCAACATGTCACTCTTACATGATACTTTTTTTCAAAGCAGTGACTCAGCTTATCTTACAAGCTTGCTTTGCACTGCGTAATCTAAAACTATTTCACAGAAGAATCCGTATGAAACTGAAGCCGCAATGTATCAAAACATCATAAGGGGACTTTTGTCATGACGCTGTACATTACGTATTATGCCAGAGGTGCAATCAGTGGAGCAGTTGGCAGCAGGGATGTCTGCTCTCACTCATGCATTTAAATGTTTAGCCCAGTTCATTAGAGCCTTTATCCAGTTAATTACACGAGCCTTGTGCCTCCAAGACGAGGGTGTTTTTAAAAGAGATGGACATGCTCCCAGATGGAAGCCCCTCAGGATGGACATCAGTTGTCTTTGTCAGATTTATTAAGGGCTTTTGGGAGACATGCATTGCAGTGCCTATATTGAGCCCAGGAGTCTATTTAACAGAGAATGACAATGTAAATCTATTCTTGCATCCTGTCCGGACTGAATTGTAAATTATTCAATAAGGGGCTGTGCGTATTGATTGTAGAGATTTTATTTGGGCAATTCTTGAATGCTGCTCAACAAGATGCAGGTTTGAATAAGGTCTTTCTTTAATAGGATTTAAAATAGATTTTCTGGTCCACTCCAGCGCTTGTGTTGAATGACACCCACCCCCTCACCACGCGCTCACTCAGTATGTGGTGTCTGTGGCTTCCCACTCTGGTCTCGGAGTGAGAGGGATCTAGACTAACTGAGCTGTACTCACACTAAGAGCCTGTTGAAGATGGAGGGGAGGGGGTTACCAAGGCAATTCAGTCAGTGGAGAGCTTTTATCAATGAGCGCTCTGTGTCTTACCTCAGCAACATCCTAACCGCCATTGTCAACTGAACTGGCCACTCTCTATGAAAGGGAACAACAGAGACAGTCTGCAAAGACTGCAAAAGACAGTTGATTGGCTGGCAACAGGCAGAGTGGCCAATCAGAATGCTGAGCTACGCTCTGTATCATTGCACATCGCCAGTCAGAGCGATGGTAAAAGCGAGACAAAATAAGAAAAATGAATTCGTAAACGATCGCTCAGGAGTTGCATATTGATGAGTCAGCATATTTAGCTAATTCATAGATAGACTTGGTGATTTTGAGGATCCTGATAATGTATTCAAGGGTGTGATGGTCTGGCAAAATCAGATCCTGCTAGATTTTAGGGAGAGGGAGGATCTGGAAGTGAGTAGGCTGATTAAAGGGCTAATCTTTGTGTGTGGCTGTGGTGTGAGAGGGATAATGCCAGGCTAGGTCAACTGATACTCTATACAGGGATTTAGTATAAGTCGAGAGCCCGATAGACTTTTTCACTGTCAGATGAGAAGGGGAACAACGAAATCCATCCCAATGTCACAGGGCAGATTTTTAACAGTAGAGTGAGTTATTGTTTTGTTAGTTTTCCATATGACATGCTAATGCAAAAACTTCAGAGGTTGATCGTTTAGCAAAACTGTACAAAAAGCCATAGTTTCATTGAGTCATTTTGTCTAATTAGAAAATGAAGTAGTGATTTGTTTGATTATATAATTGATTCATTAAACCCTTTATTTTTAAATGTATCAAATATTTCGATGTAAATACCTGTTATGTGTTTTCTGTTATTTCATTGTACTTAATTTATTTGCATTTTTATTATATCTATTTAATGCTGAAGAGATTGAACTACATATTAAAAGTGTATTAATATTACAGAACTTAAGACTTATCAATATTGTGCTGTAATGAATCTATTTTATTTAAGTTAATAATGTTTATTACATTACATTTTTTTTTAATCTTCTCTGTTACAGTTTGGTTTATGGGAGCTCCAGATCCTCCCATCCAGACTCAGAACTCCTCCATCGTCAACCTTATGCTACACCACACCCCCTGCAAGGATATGCAACAAATCATCATCCAGGCACTTCTGGACAGGGCGGGGCATGGGGCGCAGGAAGGAGCTTAGGTAAGCTCTAGAAAAATGTATAGGTAATTAGTAAAAACCGTAGTTGTAGGGTTTTTTTTTGTAGCAATTTGGTTCTCATTCCCTTCGAAACTACCTTTCTAGTGCAGTGGTAAAGTTTTATTTTTTAAGTTGAGATATAAAGAAGACATTATTTTTAGCAGGTGTTAGACTTTGTTTTGATAATCATCTTTTACAGGGCTTTCAGGTCTGTTTGATACTGGACTACATCATGCCAGTCCTTCAGGACCAGACGCTTCAGTTATGAACTTGATCTCTGCTTTGGAATCCCGAGGGGCTCAGCCACCACCTTCTGCCTCTTCCCTTCTCTCCCAATTTCGCACCCCCTCTTGGCAAACCGGTTAGTATTCAGATTTATCGAATCTAGTGTTATATAATTGAAAAAAATAAACTATATCGTGAAATGAATCATTTCATTACCTGCTGAATCATTTTCTTTTTCCTTTTCTTTCTCTCTGTTGCTGTAGCAATGCATACCCCAGCCCCTGCAGAGCTATTCATTTCTGGTGCACTACCTGGCTCTGGCTCATTTCCCTCTTCCTCTGCTCTGTCGGCATATCAGCACCCTGCATCCTTCTCAGGGCGCTCCTTCCCTGGAGTGGCCCCATCATTATCTCTGCAGGACACGCCTACCTTCAGTCCTACTTCCAATGGTCTTCTGTCACCCCATGATCCTTTGCTGCACATTAAAACACCCTCCCAATCAAGCCTTGGCTTTGACCGTCTTCTGTCTTCACAGAGTGGGAATGCTTCATATAGAGGGCCACAAGAACCTACTAGTGCTCCTCCACCCCAAGCATCTGCATCCTCATCATCACGCCATTTACCCCCCCAGTTTAATTTGCTGTCCTCACAGCTGCAGGACCAGTCATCTCAACTCTACAATTCCTCTGTATTTTCTTCTGCACCCCCTCAACCACAGTCCCAGGAAAGAGCAATCCCCAGACAAGATAGTGTGATAAAGCACTACCAGAGACCTTCTCCTGGACAGTCTCAACTTTCCTCTTCCACACCTCATCCTCTTCAACACTATCTTAGTTGTGGTGCATCGGGATACCAGCAGATACCCCATCATCGTCATGGATCTGCCATAAACTGTAGTCCACTGGGTGAGCAGAGTCCATCATCTGACCCCAAGCCCTCACCTCGATCAGAGCAAATTTACCGGCCAATTATCCAACCTCCATATACCACTTCTTCAGTATCCTCCTCAGCTAGTTCGGGTGGTGGTATTGGGAAAACAGGGAAAAGCTCCAGCTCAAGTAGCGGCTACTCTTCTTCGGGCTCCTCCTCATCTCGAACACCCCACACCCCTCCATCTGCTTCATCCACCACTTCTTCTTCCTCCTCAGCCTCTAATCCCAATGCCTCATCCAGTACCTCCTCTGCACCTTCAAGGCAGCAACCACCACCTCAGTCAGCACCGCAACCCCCTCCTCCACCACCCCCCACAGTGTCATCCTCTGTTACACAGCAGCAGCCACCAAAACCTTGCCTGTCTACATATGGCTCTCCTGTTGCTCCTGTCAAACCAACCCCTGGCCTTCCTGGTCAGACCCCACCACAACAACAGTCATATTCACCAAGTCAGCCACCCCCCTCTCACCTGCCCCAGCCATATGGAGGATTTAGTTCTCCACAGGCCCAAGATCTTGGTTCCAGTCTTGGAGGATCTGGAAAAGCTTATGGAAGTCTTGGAACAACAGGGCGTTCATTTTCAGCAGAGGTTGTCTATGGCTCTGATTCGGGATATGGTTCTTTACCACCATCTCTTGGAGGGGCAGGAAGTCCTTCAATGAGCTATGGTGGCACAGGACATTCACCTGCCCTGATGGTGTCTGGAGGTGGTACTGGTACAACAGGTAGTACCACTGGTTCAGGAGCAGGGAGTTCAGGAAGTGTGGGAGTTGGGTCAGTTAGTGGTAGTGTAGGAAGTGGTGCAGGATCATACCACCTCCCAGATTCCAGCCCTTCACCCTCAAGTAATTCTGGAATAATTCGCCCGAGTCTGCACTCCCCTGTGCCAACTCGACCTGCACAATCACCTGGAGGGAATGGGGGCAGCAAATACCTATCGTCAGTCCTCTCCCCAGCATTCTTGGCTTCTCCACAAGGTTACTCGGACTCAAGGGTGCCTCCTCAGCAAACACAGTCTTATCACACAACACCACCAAAATCAAAGTCTGATTCTGATATGCTTGGTGTAGAAAGATCTCAAGAGGAGGATGAAGAAGATGAGGAAGATTTTTTGATTCAACAATTATTACACTCCCAGAGTCCAGGACCCAATTCCTCCCAACATCATTCTCAACAAGCTCAGCAAGTAGCTTCACAACAACCACAGCCCCAATCCATTTCCCAGAGTAGAGATGGAGGAAAGTCACTCTCTGCTTATGAACTAAATAAGGCATCTGAAGAACGTTATCATTTACAAAGTGTCATTCGGACTAATAATACAACCAACAGTGCATCTACAGTTACTGCTGGCTCTTGTGGCCAAGGCACAGGTTTAGAGAACCAGTTAGAGATGTCTCTGAAAAAGCAGCAGCAAACTAAAGCTGATAGAGTCCTGTCTGGAGCTGGTACAAATGGAGGTCGAGGTGCAATTGATTCTTTGTCACACGCTCATTCTCATGGTCAACATGACTCTCTTAGTTCAGTGGTCCACTATGGCAGAGGAGACCATTACACTCATCAAACACATCAACATCACCCTACACACCCATCACACTCCCAACACCCTCAGCATTCGCAGCACCCTCATCCACATTCAATGTCCCACTCACATATGGATCTTAAGAAAGCTCAGGATCCTTCAGAATTACCATACCTGCGAAAGACTCCAGACTTACAGCAGCGACAGACCCAGTCCACCATTGGACTAATGGATTCTCCACCTGACCCATCTCAGCAAACCTCCCAAGCTCACCTTCTCCAATCTGTACTTTCGCATACCACTCGAAACAAAATGGACAACCAACAGGCTTCTACACAACAACAACAACAACACCCAATGAGTCAGCAGGCCATGATTGGACAAACAGGGGGATTGGGAAATAGTGGCCCTGGAGGAGTAGACACTCAGCCACAGGCTTCTCAACTTCAACTCCAGCTGCAGTCCCAAACTATGGAGGTTCATTATGGACGTGAGGCTCAGCGAAACCAAAGCCAGTCAAGTCAAAATTCTGTTTCACCACTAGACATGCTAGAGAGATCTTTATCCAGGACAAATAGTCGGGAAGGGACAGCGCCTTCTGATAGAGTTGGCACAGGGGATGGGAGCAATGCTGATCATCACAGACAACAACAGCATCGGATGTCCTCACATCACCAGTCCCACCATTCTCAACAACCAGCAGCAGAGCTTCATGACTTCTTGTCTGAGCCTGATGTGAGCATGTCAGCCCCTTCTCATTTGCACCATATGACCTCACACCATCCACCTCCTCATGCCCATCATCAGCCACAGACACATTCTCACCATCATAACCCTCACCAGCACCCTCACCACATGCAACCTTCTTCTGGACCTCCACAGCCCCAATCACAAACCAGGGAACAAGAACCACAGCTCTCACAGCCACAGCTGGATCAGCTTAAAGAGCATCAATATGACACTGGTAGTCCTGTGGGGAAAACATCTCAGAACCAGAATCAGACCCAAGAGCAGCAACAGCGGTTTGTGCCATTGACATCTATTTGTTTTCCAGATTCTCTTCTCCAAGATGAGGATCGGTCCTTTTTTCCAGGAATGGAAGATATGTTCTGCTCTGAAGATTACAAGGCAAGTTGTGCTGGGGGAGGTGGAAGTGCAGGACAAGGAGGTCAGGATGGTGTTTCAGAGGCACGTGGATCAGTACCAGATGGAATGGATGTTGTTAAAAATACAGGTGGCGGAGGTGCATATGACATGATGGGTCACCATGGTGATCAGGGGTATGGGCAGTACTGCCACAGTTTGTCTGAATCCGGCAATGGTACTATGCACTTAGATCTTGACCCCTTAAAATCTCATGAACTCCCATCTACTGTAAACACAGAACAGTTGGGCTTAATCCAGTCTCAGGGCCCAGGCCTTGGGATGGGCAGCACGGGACAAGTTATGGATGGAACTGGAAACAAAATGATGGGCAATGTGGGTGTTGGTAGTGGTCCTGGAACAGGGGGGCTCTCCTCCCCAATCTTTTGCTCCTCTAGACCTAAAAAACTTTTAAAAACAAGCTCATTTCATCTCCTAAAACAGCGAAAAGACCCCAATGCCCAATCACAGGTTAAAAAGAACTATGCTCAAGAATATGAGTTTGAAGATGATGAGGACAAAGCAAATGTTCCTGCTGATATTCGCTTAAACAGTAGACGTCTCCCAGATCTGCTTCCTGATCTTGTTTCCAGTTGCAGAAAGTCTGGAAGTGGTTCAGGAGTTGGGAGTTTAAGTCCTTTAATCAGTGATTTAGACTTTTGCCACCCCTCAGGATACCCATCCCTTAGACCTCCTCCACAGATGCTCCCACAAGATGGCCCAAAGAAGAGGGGGAGAAAACCCACCAAACCTAAACGTGAAGGTCCACCAAGACCCAGGGGTAGGCCACGTATTAGGCCTCTTCCTGAGCCACCATATTGCAGAAATATGTTGGGGCCTGGGGGAGAAAGTAGAAGGGGACGTGGTCGAGGAAGAGGACGCGGAAGAAAGGATGATCAAATGCTGGATATGCACAGAGACATGAATAAGGGGCAGAACTACCATCAACAAGCACCTCAACTTCATCATCAACCACAGTTACAACAGCACATGCACCACCATCTACAACAACAACAACAGCAGCACCAACCACAACATATGCACCAACAGCAGCACCTACATGTACAACAACAACTTCATCATCAACAGCAGCACCACCAACAGCTTGCACAGCATCAGCCTCAGCAACAATACCAGGAACCCATCAAGCCAATCAAAGTACGCTAAATTTTAAAGTTTGTACCAGTAGTAAATTAGATATTGATTAATGATCAATGAAACCATAACAAAAAATATTGTTTATTCATTTAAAAATTGGCTTATGTATAAATACTTAATTGTTTTCCTCCCAGATTAAGCTCCCTATTCCTTCCATGCCCTCATCTGATTCCCTCTTGAGGACAGACTCCATGTCCAGCACAGATCCAGTATTGTCTGATGGTTCGGTAGGATCTGCACCATCTCTTGGTTTGAGCCCAGGGCCCACTAACAGCGTGGAGCTAAACAGAATCGACATGAACAGAAATGATATGGGATGTGGTCAGGAAAAAATGAAGCAGAAAGCCCAAGAGGTGAGTCTCAGTTTGGAAAAATCTTTAGTGAATGTTGAAATCTAGCAGAGGATTTTTAAATAACTCCAGATGTTTTATGTAAAATGTAGAACAAGTGGCGCTTCAGTGGTTTGGTAGTTTAGCACATCATTTGTTGCAATAACTGTATCCTTTCATAATCACAAGCAAGACTTGTTTTATCATAGAAGTTGGTGCATTTAAAACCTTAGCATAAAGACAGAGCACAATCAATAAATTGTGATGAACTTGTTTTTACAATTTTAGGAACTAAAAACATGACAACCTCATTTATTAGTTAATATTGGGTCTTTAAATAACCTACAAATCTAGAGCAAGTTTAGTGAAGGAGGTGTGAGGAGGTCAAATATTTTTTGGAAGACTTGCCAGGCCAGAGTGTTGGCAGCAGTGATAGACTTAAACAATGGATTAAACATTTAAAAGACTTTTAAAGATTGCTTTATCAAGCACATTTCTAGTCATTGTAGTTAGCCCTGCTTAATACCGTTAGACAAGTGGTCAATTCCTGGAAGGCCGCAGCTTTGCATAGTTTAGCTCCAACCACCTCCAACTCACACCTGCTTAAAAGGTCTCTAGTAGTCTTGAACACCTTGATTAGTTGGATCAGCTGTGTTTGATCAGGTTTGGAACAAAACTGTGCAGAGCTGCGGCCTTACAGAAATTGAGTTTGAAACCTATGCGTTAGACAGTGCTATTTACCAGTTGAGGCAATTTGTAGCATGTGACATGAAATAAACTATGATTTATGCAATTAGTGACCCCTGATGAATTAAGAGACTAAGCCAAAGGAAAATGAATTAATTAATTATTTGAACAAAAAACCTAAAATAATACTGCCAAAGTTCTCTTCTACATTGGAGAAGTAAAAGCTTACGAAAAGCATGTTCCTAAGCAGGAAGCATTTTACAGCCCTAATCAAACGATGTCCTCCATATGTTTAAAATGCACTTATGAAATGTCCTCTGTTGCCTCAGCAACAGGTAGCCTCTGGATAAAAGGGTGGAAGACAGCTAGTCGGGTGTTACAGTATGTGGACATATATGCTTTTTTTTGTGTGTATGCACAATTTTTTATTTTTTTATTTATTTATTAGCAGATGTCCTGGGAGGGAGACATGGATGACCAAATGACCCCCGAGGCCTGGGCTACCATGCAGAAGCTCTCCAGCTCAGTAAGACTTGCATTCATTCTAATTCAAAATCTGATTTAGTTCTATAGAGAAGACAATAAATCACTCATATTTATTGTAATATGATAATATATACTCATAATATATTGTTTTAAATGCTAGTTTATGTGACCGTTCTCAGTGTCTGCTTCTTGCCACTAGAGGGAGCAATGGCCATAGACTAAGATGATTGGCAGACCACCCCGATGACTGAGTTCTTAAAAAATGCAATAAAAGAAAGGGAGAGTGCTGTTGCTAGGGTGGCTGTTGCTAAGGTTACTGATTCATAGTAACCATCATCAACCACCCTGCTGTTCAGTAAGGTGTTTTACCTCTCTCCAGACACACCTAATATAAGAGAGTAGGACTACAGTGATTTGAAAATATAAAGATGATGAATCACAAAGAACATTTATTTTGAAGCAGGTTTTCTGGCTTTTTCATTCTTTTTCCTGCTCCTATTTTCTATCTTTGCCTTACTTGTGCTATTTGTCCATTTTCTCCCATTCTGCCCTTTTCGTTTCTCTCAGACGGATGAGAAATCTTCAGAGCTGAAATCGGGTTTCATAACCTCCTTTCTGGATTTCTTAAAAACGGGGAAGAAGCCAGGCACTGAAGCTCCACCTGTAGATGGGTGCACGTCCACGGATTCCTCTTCCATAAAGGGAGGCATTCGCCCATTATCGCCACAACCACCCCCTCCTCCACCTCCTCACTTTGGAGAGAATGAAGGTGATGGAAGCCTGGGTCTCAGTAACTGTCCATCACCCTGTAAAAGACTTGACGAGGAGCTCAAGAGGAACCTAGAGACCCTGCCGTCCTTCTCCTCAGACGAGGAGGATTCTGTTAGTAAAAACCAGGACCTGCAGAAGAGCATCTCGTCAGCCATTTCTGCCCTCTATGACACTCCTCACAGCCTCGCTGCCATTCCTCCTCCACCTACACCATCACCACCCACTCCACAGACGGTCTCTCTAAACACCCCCCCACCACCCTCAGATCCAGAGTCTATCCTGCACGTTCATGCTGAACCAGAGCCTGACATACACGCGTCACAGCAGCTGGAAACACACACAAGGCCCAATCCCCAGGAGGAGGCACACATTCCAGGTGAGGACGAGGAACAGGAAGAGCCTGTACAGGAGACGCATGATGAAATACAGCAGAAAGACGACACACAGAGCGAGTGTGAGGAGGAAGGAGATGAGCTTGAAGAAGACAGAAGTGAAAAGGATGGAGCAGATCCGATAAGGACAGAAGAGAGCAAGCAGGAAGAGGAGGAGGAGGAGGAGGATGAACCTGCGTATGAAATGCTGGATGCTCTTAAGGCTGCTGAGAGTGAGTATTCAAACACATCCACAGTCAAGTTTAACATTCATATGGAATATTAATACCTCCTTCTTTTCTCAATCGCACACTATGTTTTAGGGTCTCCGTTGGAGTCACCTCCTGCTCCCCCTTCTCCTCCATCTCTTTCCCCCTCTCCCCCAACCTCTTCCTCGCCATCTCCTCTTCCTCCTCCACCTCTCTCTCTCCCCTCCCCTCTGCCATCTCAAGAAGAGGAGGAGAATATACAGCAACAGCCGCAACAGCCGCCGCTGCACAATTCCCTCCCTCCCAGTCCTTCTCCACCTGCTCTCCCTTCTCCCTCCCCGCCTCCACCCACGCTGCCCCCCTCCGCCACACCACCACCATCCCCCTCTCCACCTCCTCCCGAAGAGCTGCCCCAGCCCTCCCCAGAATCACCCCCCACCCCCGAAGATGCCCCGACGCCTCAGATCACGTCACTGCACCTGGCTAAGAAACAGTCCAACGCGGCCATTGCTGGAGAGAGTGAGGATGATGACAGCGAGAGTGGGGGGGAGGGGATCTTCAGAGAGCGGGATGAATTTGTGGTGCGCACAGAAGATATTGGTGCACTCAAGGTAGAAACAAATTCTCTGCTTTTGTTTTATTGTCTTCTTTTATGTATAGAAATAATATTTAGATGCTTAAAGGGATTGAGAAGGAAAATGCTGGCTTACCATTTATTGTATGAATTATTTTCTTCTCTGGAACGTAAAAGAGGAAAGTTGGAAAACAAATCTGCTCCTCTGCACTTCCATTGTGTGGTTAAAAGCTGTAATACATAAATTCTACTGTTATTTTGACACATTAAAGTTTGATTACAATCATACACAGTATGGCATGTAGTGAAAAGCTTTTGTTTAACTGCCCTGGCTAGACAAGCAGGAGACAGATATGTACAGGGTACGAATTATACATTGACAATCGGGTAGTGTCGGGTAACTTATTTGGTAATGTTAGTTTGTGTAATACACATGCTTCTGTGAATTAAATGTAAGCATTAATTTTAATTCCATTCAATTTATGAATAAAAGGTCTTACGTTTTCAATATTTTGAGGGAAATTTTGTGTATTTTGACCTACAATGTCCTCTGATTAGCTATTTTAGAGGTTATTGTAGGTCAAACTATGCATCCAATTTTACTTTTAGGCGTAGATTAAATGCCTATTTTACAAGAAATGTGTCTTATGTGAACACTTATAATATCTGTTTGTGCTCTTGAGCTGCAGTTTTAGGCTGTTGAATTACTTCTTGCATAGACTGCTTGACATGATTATGCATTTACAATGGTATGAACCATTATAGGGGTGGTTAAATATACAGTTGAAGTTTATTTTTTCCCACAATTTTTTCAACACATTTCTAAACATAATATTTTTATTTATATTTATTATATAATATTAATTTTATTTTATATTTACCATGATGACAGTAAATAATATGTGACTAGATATTTTTCAAGACACTTGAATTAATAAGGCTAGTTATTGTTCAACAATGGTTTTATTCTGTAGACTATCAAAAAATATAGCTTAAAGGGGCTTATAATTTTGACCTTAAAATGTTTTTTTTTTTATTAAAAAATGATTTTATTTTAGTCGAAATACTAAACTTACTGTGAAAAATTTCTTTGCTCTGTTAAACATAATTTGGGAAATATTTAAAAAAGAAAAAAAATTAAAGGGGGCTAATAATTCTGACTTCAACTGTATAAATATATTTTAACTATTAATATTATTTAAGTTACTGATCAGAGTTAACTAATTAAACCTTAGCACTTTCTATACATCTTGTTTTTATGTCCTTCAGGGAGGATCAAATGGTAATTAGCAGGGTCAGACCCCCCAAACCTGTACCATATGTAGATGGTACAGTATAAACATGAAAATTAGTTGTTTACACATCATGCTTCTAATCAGATTTTCATCTTGTCTTTCTTTTTCTTTTTTCTTTTTTTTTTTAGATTTTATTGATTTTTCTCATTTCAAATAATGCAGATGAATATCAAATAGAGAGCATTAACATAAAAGCAGAACAATACAAAATAAATAAATACAATAAATAAATAGTCATATAAATTGAATAAGTAAACCAAACCATTACACATACAAAAAAAGGGGGCATAGGGTTGCTAATATCATAGCCTTAATTATTATTTTGTCTTATTACATGTTTGCTAGCATTGTGTATTGCAGAAATTTTTCCCATTTATCAACATAAATGTCAATCCTTCCATATAAACTGTAGGAGAGTTTTTCGAAACTCGTCCTAACTCCGAAATCTACTCAAAGATCGAAGGTCTACTGGAAAATTTCCAGTTTTTAGCAATCATCCATCTGCCTAACATGATACAGCTCTGTATACACTGTGATTCAGCTTTATTCATGTGGCTTAAGGGAAAGGGTCTTAAAGTATGTATAGGCATGGGCAAAAGTCATACTGGGTGTGCAATATTAGGTATATAAGGTATTCATGCACCTCCCTCTAAAAATATTGGACTTCTGGGCATTGCCATAATGCATGAAAAAGGTCACCTGCTTCTTTCTGGCATCGCCAGCATTCTGGATTGTTTTTGAAACCTGCTCTTAACAGTCTCTTAGGGGTCCAGTAAAAATTTTAAACGGTATAAGATGTGTTCTAACATCTCTGGACATGATTTTAAATTGCCAGCAAATATTCAAATGTGCATCCTAAATCTTTTTCCCATATTATCAGAACTAATATTTTGACTAATTTGACTGAGCAGTGCATAATGTTTAGAAACTTTATGGCCAGTACTCATCTTGTCTTTTTAAACTGGTAAACGATTTCAGCTGTAATGTTGAACTGGTTGTCCATTAAGACTTTTTAAAGTCTGCTTTACAATACATGTTACTTTTTACTCCTGTAAGGATAAATACAAATAGAACTATGTCACCTTGAACTATAAAAAATAGTTGGTTATTTCATTTTAATCTCCATTGTATAACATTAAAACTTCTATATCAAATTTTTAATTCTCTCTTCTTTTCTCAGTTGGCGCTGCAGACCGGGCGAGAGCCTCCTCCTATCTGGAGGGTCCAGAAAGCTCTGCTGCAGAAGTTTGCTCCTGAAATCAAGGATGGACAGCGGCAGTTTTGTGCTACCAGTAATGTGAGTGTCTCCCTAGATAGCATGTCTGCTTGCATTAAAATGTAGTCACCACAGTGAACTCAAACTATCTGTCCTCTGTCACTCATTGGCAGTATTTGGGCTACTTCGGAGATGCAAAGATGCGCTATCAGCGTTTATATGTCAAGTTCCTGGAGAATGTGAACAAAAAGGATTACGTTCGAGTATGCTCGCGGAAACCTTGGCATCGGCCCAGTCTCACACTGAGGTAATTTCACCCTAAATGACCTTCTGGAGCTACTGTGGTCCTGTGATATGTAGCAGTTAATGCAGTAGTTACTGTCAATCATAGAAATTTGTGATCATTTACTCACCCTCATGCTGTTCAAAACTCTCATGCTGTTGCTTTTCACTGTGAAGCAGATTTGTTTTCACAGAATAAATGTACTCCACTTGTTACGGCTCTGTTCTCACCTGATATTAAGGTCAATTTTGGTCTGTAGAAAACAGAAGAGGGAAACACATTCCTGTTTATACCTGATGTTTTATTCAGTGTGCGAATTATACATTGACGATCAGAGGGGTCAACTTTTTCTGTAATGTTAGTTTTTGTAATACACGCTTCAGTTAATCTTATTTATTAATAAATCTATTTAAGTTTTCAGTATTTTGAGGGATATTTAGTGTATTCTGACCTACAGTATCTAATAAGCTACTTCTAAGGTTACTGTAAGTCAAACTATGCATCTATTTTGACTTGACTTTTAGGCTGTAAGTAGAAACAAAGCTATTTTATGAGAAAACAGTCTTGTGTTACATTGTCTCTAGATCTGCCGGTTTCAGTCTCTTGATTGAGTTTTTTCTCGCAGAATGATTGGTGCGATCATGCATTCACAGTAGTATGAACCATTATAGGGGTGGTCAAATGTAGATTTATATTATTATTTACATTTTTTTGTATTAATTTTAATTATTAGCATTATTATTTAAAATACAAAGCAGAGCTAATTATTTCTCATTATTACAGAGTTAACCCCCTATACATGTTGTTTTGATGTCCTTCAGGGGGTATCAAGCGTTAAAAAGGGGGGGTCCATCTCGCCATACTCCTTTATAATTCACACCCTAGTTTTAATCCATTTTTCTGTCCACTTTTCAGAGTTCTTAGGATCTATGGCCAGGTCTATATACAAGCCGCTTTTTGATCTTGTAGCCAAATATTGTAAAATAAGCAACTTGCATTATGAACATGAAAGGAGATGATGCACAATAACTGAATGCTGCAAAACATAGAAAGCCGTGGCTTTTCATGAGAATCAGCACTGGTTAGAGAACATTGCATTTTACATTTATGCCTCTTCAACCAAATTAACAACTTCAGATAAAAAAATAATCTAGTCTAGTGTGCTTTAGGGATGGGATGATAACCGCTTTCAAGGTTTACAGAGGTTTGGAAAGGTCAAGGTTTTGAAACCACATTTATCTTCTTTTATACCATTCCTATATCCTATAAGGTATATGTACATGCTTTTTTTATGTACATGTGTTTTTTAGGGCAACCGTATCCACAGCAAAAGAACTCTCTAAATCCAATGCTACTGGTCAGCCCACAATTCAGGAATTGTTTGAAAAAACAAGTTACTTATACACCAACATCCAAGCATGCTGTAGAGCTGAACAGTGCAGTGGCTTTACTTTATATATAAAGAAAAGAAAGCCTTTTAAAGTTGTTATGGAGATAGTCAGCGATTTATTTAAATTGTTTATCCTGACATGTTAAAATAAAAAGCCAAAATATAAAAAATGTTTCTTAAAATAAAATAGACTGTGTTCAAAAGGGATTTTTTAAATTCAGACATTTTAAAAGAACTGATCACAATACCGTTATAATATCAAGGTTATCATACCGTCAGAATCTTACACCAGCCCATGCTTAGTGTGCTTTAACGGCACATCCTAAAAATTTGAAGAATTAGGTCAGTCGGCAGGTTCAAATGGAATTGGCTGCATCAATGTTTTTGTTTGCCTCTGAAAGTGGATGAAGGTGGACAAGCTAAAAATGTTCCACACCCTGCTAAATCTGCCGTAATATCCCCTTGTGATCGGATCAAGAATAAGGATCTTAATACAAGGTGTAAACAGGGCCATATTTGTCTGACGGGAAAATAAGTATCTATCCACTGATAATCTCCCAGTGCAGCAGCTCTCAGATGGTTTATGTTCCTCGGACTTGACATTATGACATTTGATTTTGAGACACATGAGACTAATGACATTTGATGCCAGTGACAGCCCACCTGCTGCATAGCTTGTCTGATATTCATCACTAAAAATGACCCTGTCACAATATGCAAAAGGCTTAGAAAAATCTTTACAGAGTTCAAATTTAAAGCTACGTGAGAGTTAATGATAGCAGATTCAGATTTCTTGGAGCTGTCAAGTTCATCAGTTTATTGTCAATAAACATGGGTAAGAGAAATGTTTTTTCTTCCCATCAGGCGCCAGTCGCTCCCTAAACCACAACCTGTACGGAGCCTGACTCCACCTCGCATGGAACGAGACGATCGAGAGAAGGAGAGAGAAAGACAACGGGAGAAAGAGCAACGGGAGCAAAGAGAAAAGGAAAAGGAGAGAGAAAGAGAAAAGGAACGGGAACGAGAGAGGGAGCAGATCGAGAAATCTCGCCGAGAAAAGGAGAAGGAGAAAGAGAGGGAGCGAGAGCTAGAAAAGCAGAAAGAGAGGGAGAAACAAAAAGAAAGGGAAAAGGAGAAGGAAAGAGAAAAACAACGAGAGAGAGAAAGGGAAAAGGAAAAACAAAGGGAGAAGGAAAGAGAAAGGGAAAGACAGAGAGAGAAGGAAAGGGAAAAACAACGAGAGAAGGAGAAGGAGAAAGAGCGAGAGAAGGAAAAGAAACTCCAACAGAGACAGACTCAAGAGAAGCTGGACAGGAGACCGGCCTTGGTGGAGCGCGGGAGGGTCAAAGAGGACAAGAAAGTTGGAGAGAAGCGTGCTGACAGGACGAGAAGCAGGCCTGTCAAAGTAAAGGCAGAACCTCCACCCAAAAAGAGGAAGAAGTGGCTGAAAGAAGTGCCCTCTTCTTCAGATTCAGACTCTTCGCCTGAGCCGCCCAGTGATGATGAAGGTGTGTATGAAATATGCCCATATTCAGTCATTCATTGTATTCACAATACTGATTTTCACATGCACAATACTGACATCAAGAGCACTTCAAAACACTGTGAATAATGATTTATAGTTTCATTTTAGAGTTCCTTCAAGACTTTTTCGATTGTTGTATCAGGTTATCCGTAACGACTGACTTTATTTTAAACCGTTTGACATGTTTTCACATTCTTTGCACGGTAATCTGAAAAAGACACCGTCTTGTCTCTCTGAGTCTTGCACCAGGTTGCACATTTGCACTATAGACACTTTCACTTCATGTATCTTAGAAACATTCTGCATTTCAATTGTGCTTCATTCTGGTAAGTGGGCTTGACAAACCACCTGTGGAAACACTTTTCTCTCTTCTGCACCTGACATTTTTATCTAAACTCCATCTTACAAGAACTCAATAATGAAAACGATGTTTACTGTAAATGTACCACAATCATGTTGCACTGCTGCTTCAAACTTAAATACCTCGTTTGCATAATATTCACCTTTAATACCTCTCTTTCACAACATCCTGCACAGCATTGTTCAGTCACAAATAAAAGTACTTGTATAGCTTTGTCTTGTGTGTTTAGTTAAGTATCTTATAGTATTAGTTAGTTATGCATAGTTTTTTTTTTAAATAGCTCATGTCCAGTGTTGTGTTTGTATTTATGATTAATTTATTTAGCACTGTGGTCCTGCGAGACACGGCATTTCGTGTGTCTGTATGTCCACACATGTAGCTGAATGACAATATAGTTGACTTGACTTGACTTGGTCTACAACATTGAAAATTATGTGACCACTTGTAGGCCTTTCGTTCATTTACCCTTTATGGTACAGTTTCAGTTCGTTAAAAATAGTTAATTTAATAACTATAGTCAGTGCAATGATGAATATTAATTTTCGGTTGTTAATATCGGATTTTTTTTTTTATTGAAAAGTTTAAAATAACAGGATTTAGATGTAATAAAACAATAAAACTAATTTGTGACAAAAATTACTTTTGAAAATGAAAAATGTTCTTGCTTAATAAAAGTTTTTTTTTTTTTTTAAGCAAAATATTTCTGAGCCCAAACTTTTGAACAGAAGTGTAGGCCATGATATTTAAATATGGTAGTCTTTCAGTATGATATTTACAGTGTCCAGCGTGAATGAGTACACACTGTACAGATATTTGTGTAAATACATTAGATTAGCTCTAGTGTGGACTTTGGTACTGACTAATCTAACAAAATAACTGAAGATGACAGTGCAGTTTTTATACGCCCCAATGAACATGCTGGTAAAAAAAATATATATTAAAAATTGAATAAATAGGAAAAGTCAAGAATCATGAAAATATAAAATTGTGTAGTTTTGTTAGCAAAATTAAGTTAATTATTATGTCTCTATTCCTAATGATGTTAGATGACCACACTCATATAAATGTGTATAAAACTATTTTGTTTAAATGCATCAAAATATTTGGACTACATCCAAGAAAATGATAAAAATATCCAAAGTGGGTGTACTCATTTATCCTGATATATAATTATATATATCAAAGTATTTTATTATTATACATTATATTATTTACTATATAATACCAATTACAAGTCCATTTAAAACCAATTCAAATGAATAATACTGTGTAAAATTACCTGTACGTTCTGTCTTAGGCTATGTGTATAGTTTAAATATGTATAGTTAGTAGTTTGTATAGTGAGATTACTGCTCCGGTATGTTAATTATATATAGGTTTAAAGTTCAGTATTGTGTTCATATTTTTGATTGTTTATTGATGTAGTACCTTGGTCCTGCGAGACACACCTTTTTGTTCTACTATATCTCCACACATGTAGTGAAATGACAAAAAAGCTCAATATGACTTGACTTAAGTATTTAAAATGATTCCAATGCAGTACTTTTAAGTTAGGCTTGATCGGGTACTAAGAAATGTTAATCAATCCTAAATTGTTACCAAATATTGTTAAAATTTCTGTCAGGTATCCGTTTAATTGAGGTTGATATTCGATCTTTCTATGGATCATTTCTCTCCACACAGTTCTATTAATCACCGGTTATTTGAGTTTGCGCATACTCATGTTGGTATCAGGTTTGACAGTATCAAGCCAACGAGGTCTTGGGCGGCCTTTCTCCCGACATGGCCAAAATCGGATCATTTCTGTTTGTTAATCTTGACTTCCAGCTAGGTCTTTGGCTTGATGTACCCTAGGACTTTTTGTTGGTGATTCTCGCTGTCCGTGAGATGCGCAACAGTTAAAATTTAGTAACAGAAAAATGATACTGATATAGTCTGTAATCAGCTCAATATATGCCACGATGACCATTGGATTTAGTTAACCTCACATTATATGCAGGATATGTTCAGAAATCTCTCTGATTTCATTTAATCTCTCTGATCTTCATTTTGAATATGAATGAATTACTTAAGGCTTTGTTGTCATTTGTTTTGCATGTGTTCAATCCTCAGTATCCACACGCAGTGGGATGAACAGTCGGGCCATGAGAGAGATGTTTCGCAGTTATGTGGAGATGCTGGTCAGCACCGCTTTGGACCCTGACATGATCCAGGCTCTGGAGGACACCAACGGTGAGCCTCATCATTTGATAAATATAAAGTGCATGTGCGGAGGAGTGGTGGAGGTGATTAAGGGAGAGAAAGACAGACAGAGCAATGAAAGAGAAGTTTAATAAAGCAAGCGAGGTTGAGAGAGAGCACAATGAGGTGAGACTGGAAGAATAATGACAAGGAAAAGATGCTGAGGAAAGAGGAAAGCTGCGGTGACTGATGAAAGCAGTTACATTAAGTTTCATAACATAAGTGTTTAAATGTACGCATAGCTCGTTTTTGTGGGGAAGCAGATGATGTCATCTGTCCAGGCCTAAAGACAAATTTAAAGTCCCCAAGAAATCTAGATTTTGTTAGCTCACATTACCAGTTTTGAGGTGAACAATTCATCTGTGAATGTTATTAAGAAAAAAAAGATGGTTTGCCCATCTAATCTTTCATTTTTATCTGAAAATGCGGTTCCTGTTTGCTTTGTTAAATTGTCAGATTACATGATTTTGAGGTAAACATGCTTAACCACACCCCTCCAAGCGTTACTTTTGACAACAAACAGAAATAGTGAACAGGAGGTGTCTGTTAGGTTGTAATAACTCTGCCCTAACTCTTTTTCCCATCTCTCTGAATGAAATGCCTACTTTATTACGCTCAATGAGCTTACATTAGAAAAACAAGCCGCGCACACTGTTTGCTCCTTTAATATTCCGTTTCTATAGGAACTGCTTCACAATATCCAAAAAATAACGGTCGCAGATTCTGGTTCATGAGGACTTAAACTAAAAAATAAGTAATTTAACATTAGTTTAACGTGCAAAAAAAATCAAAAACTGTTTAAAACAGCCATTTATTTTATATAGTTATATATAGTTATATCAACTTTAATTTTTAAATGATTATAAAACAGGAAGAATGGGTGTTTTTCAACAGTTTTAGGACAACTTTGAAGAAAGGTTTTGATCCACTTCAAATGTTGACTAGTGTAGATATGCTCACGGTGAATCTCTTTTTCATTTCTAATAGAAACAAGTTCAGAATAACTGAGCACAAATGAATAAGTGTATTCATGCTGGACATTTCCTACTTGTTTATCTGTGTTTCCTTCTTGTTTCCTTCTAAAAAAATGTTTTGGATTGCATTTCTTAACTCCTAATGTCGCTAGTTAAACACATCCCATTTTTTCAACACATCCCATAATTTCTAAATTATCAGCCTCTACCAAATGGTTGATATGTCGATTTATGTTAAAAGTACCAGAAGTAAAATATATACTATGAAAAATATGAAAATAGGAAGTGTAAGACCAATTTATTTAAAAACTAAAAGATTTTTAAATACTAAATCATCTTTATTTTTTGAAGTATGCCATAAAATATTTCACATTCTCATTTAACACGTTTTCTTGAGTTTTTACAATAAAACCAAAATCAAGTGTAGTAGTGCAACAGGATTATGTTTGTTAGATTTTTTTGTAAACAATCAATGCTGTGTGTGTAAACCATTATTCAAAATATGAAAATTATTTTCAACAAAATATGGTCAACCATTTGGTAGAGCAGACAGTTAAATGTTAAGCATTTGTTGAGTGAAGAACCATACGTGTTATCTTCATTGTCATTGATTACAATATATATATATTTGTAGTCACGTGGTAGACTGGCGCAGACTGTAAATAACAGAGTAATACCATGAAATATTATACATACTGTTGTAAGGTATGAACAAGCCAATAATTTTAGCTGTTGTTTTATCATCTTTGGTAGTTTAGGTGGTGTAGTAGTGTATTGCTTTAAATTCTAGAACGCATTTGATTAGTCATTGCACCCAATGACTCATTTGATGTCCTCAAAATCATTGATTAGTTTTGGCATTTTGTTGTTGTCTTGCGGCAATAACTTACATGTAATTTTAAGACTTACATGTTTTTCCTAACACCAAACAATTACATTTTAGTTTCAAATGTTAAAGGGTCAGTTCAAAGAAAAATAAAAATGATGTTATTCATTACTAACCTCATGTCGTTCCAAACCCCTGAGATCTTCGTTCATCTTCAGAGCGCAAATACAGATATTTTAGATGAAATCCGAGAGCTCCCTCATCCTTCATAGAAAGCAATAGTCACAAGAAATTCAAAGTCCAGAAAAGGAACCAAAAACATTTGTGAAGACATGCCATATGACTGTAACCATACAAAGCTCCAAGAACTAGTTGTTGAAATGTATCTTTCATATCAGGTCAGGGTGCATAAATACTATGGGAATTTGATGCATATGTCTTGCACTGCTGACTTCATAATGGCAAATACATCAAACCTATACCTATAGGAAGCAAGCAAGTGAGCAAAATCCTATTTACAGGGCTGTTTTTTATTTATTTATTTATCTTTTGCATACAAAAGTGTTTTTGGAGCTCTGTATGCTTACAGTTGGACCAATGTTAGTAATTTACATTTTGTAAGTGAACTAATTCTTTAAAAGTGAAAACAATGGTATCAATGTTGCATCCAATTAAAATTATGCTTCAGGTTGTACTATAAATCAGCTTTCTTATGTTTCTACTTGTTACTATCTGACCCTGAAATACTGGATTATTTGAAACTGGATTAAATGGACTACAGAAGATTACCAAGTCAAAAAAATTTCGAGATTCAACGCAGCACTTACCTATTGCACAATCATCATGGACTGATGGTAGTTTTAAGTTGTTTATTTACCAGCAAGAGCAAACTCTTTCATTCATTCATTCATTTTCTTTTCGGCTTAGTCCCTTTCTTAATCTGGGGTCGCCACAGCGGAATGACCCGCCAACTAATCCAGCAGGTTTTTTACGTAGCGGATGCCCTTCCAGCCGCAACCCATCTCTGGGAAATGTATTATATAATGTTATATTATACAATATATTAGTATCAGGAAAACTTTTTAAACTAAAAGAGCTTCTTCTTCATTGCGCCAGTTTGTGCTTTTAATTTGCTAGAAGTAAATAAGTATAGTAATAAATAATCAAATAATATAAATCAAAAGTTACAGTAAAGACAATTCTAATGTTTTAAGAAGTTTTGATTTAAAAACAAAATGCATTTGCAAAAATATTAAGCAGCAGAACTTTTTTTTTTTTTTTTTTAAGTGTGATGTTTTTGTACAAATGCGAATATATTAGTTTTACAAAACCCTCAGCTCTTAGGCTTCGTTTAACAAATCAAAAACCAGAGAAAAAAAAAATCTCTTTGACTCCTCCCCTTTTCTGCACAGATGAGCTTTATCTCCCACCCATGCGGAAGATTGACAGCATCCTCAACGAACAGAAACGGAGGCTGTTGAGAAGGCTCAACATAAGTGTCCAGCATCAGGTGACAACAATGGCTTTCAGGAATACCTAAATGCTACTCAGGGCCTTCTGATCTGTGTTTTAAGTCCGTTTCTGACTCAGTCTCTCTTGTTCTTTAAATAGGAAGCACTGCACATGTTCCCTCAGATGACCGCAGACCCCCTGGACTCTGGAGCGGTGAAAGTGCATCTGGGTGGGGAAGGTTATAACCGGAAAACTCTCAACAGAGTCAAAAGGAGCCTTCCCAAACAGCAGGCAAGTTCTGCAGTGGATTGTTTACATAATTATATTTAGTAAGTAAAGCAGCATGCTAGCACTTTTAGTTTAGCTGTTCAGCAAGCAACCCTAAGTGACCCCGAAAGGTGTTTGGATGCTTCAGATACACTTAAATGCAGCGTTTATAGGGGTATATGGATACATGATTATGGAGTGATCTGAAATATGTGAATAATAATCTGAAACAACATCTTTCTGAGCACATAAGATTAAAAACTCTCTTGACTCTCATTACTTGTCTGATTCCTCAAGCTGTCATCAGACTTGTGGCCGACATTTGTTTTAGAGATTTCAATTAAATATTCATGGTATATTTTGGTAGCATTTATGAGTTAAAATGTAGCTGGCTGTGTACTATAGGCACATTATATTGCAGTATCGACATAACGATCGCAGGCTGCTGAATCTAATCAAATCATAAATGTGTTGTGGTCTCTGCCACATCGCCTATGTGAACTTGAGGGATTTTAAACCTCCACTAGAATCACCTGGGACCATCTGATTAAATGTCATTGCAAAAAGGCTAAAAAAGGCATCATTTGCTTGTATCTGCTATTTGCTGTGATGTTTTGTTGTATAATGTGGTCATATTCATACTGTTTTTTCCAATTGGTTACACACACAATCATTTCATGTCACACAATTTCTCAAACATCTTACTCAAAATGCAAAACTACACTGCAAATCTCCAAAACCAGAAACTGTTTCACAGCCTTGAACTCAGATTTTTATTGAATAAAACACTTTTTTTCAAAACACTACAATCAACTCTACCTAAAACACAAAGATCTAAAGGGAAGCTACATGCTTTCCTTTTCCAAACACAAACATTCAAAATGAAACACTCTCTCACACACACACTACTCAAATGTGGAAACACTCATTTCTTAACTGATTACTAACCTGTCACTGTAGTAAAGGCCTATAAATAGGCCAAAAGTGACCAAAGAGCATGAATAAAAGTGGTACTTGCATTAAACTAAAAGAAATTAGACCATCACTTACTGGTTCTTTAAAAACCTTTCACAACTTGTGGGGCCTCCTTTTAGCTTATCTGCTGGCTAACTCTCTTGATTCTTAAGCTGAGCAGTAATATATGATTACAGATTTATTATTCATTATTATTTCTTTTTATCTTTATTATTATTATTTATTTTATTCATTAATTTTTTTAACTTATTAATTATGTTTATTTTTTATTTTTTTCAGTGGGAAGCTATAGGCTGTTGAGAGTGGGAAGTGTTTATTTGGGGTTGTGTTAACAACAACATTAAAGGATAATTATAAAATGAATATTCTAACTGATATTTCATGTAGAAAACCTAATAAAAGACATTACATTTATTCCAGGGGAATTTTCATACTTTAAATTTATATTTATACACACACACACGCACACACATAATAAATGACAAATTTAAACAATGCCTGCAAAAAAATCCCTGCTAATAATAATTTTTGGGTTTATCCTATAATCATTATAAAGAAATGACTCGTGAATTCAAATATAATTTTATGTGAAAACAAAATAAAAGATTATGACTGTTTTAGAAACTAAGCATTTATCAGGTCTAAATACACATAGAATGTGATAACCAGGGTTAAAACTGGTTTTAAAACATTAAAATCAGAGTGAAATAACTCAACTTACAGAACTGGGCTGTTTTGGGTTAAAAAACAAAAGCTGGTTTGCCACTTATCCATAATTTGTAGTTTTGTACCTAATGCGTATTTACATTTTCTAAGTCCTAAATTCCTTTACAAAAGAACAGAGGAATTCTTCTCAGCCTGCCACTGGCAAGTTCAATATACCCAAAGTTCTTAAGCTTCTTCAGGCAATGGACTACCCCCCAAGACCACACACATGCAATTGTGTTCTTTACTGTAATATATATATATATATATAATTCCGCTTTACATATATATATATATATTTTTTATTTGTTTACATTTGTACATACAGCATGTTCATGGTTATGTTGTATGCTACTGTATACAACATTAATGTTTGGACTACTAAATTTTTTTTTGTTTCTTCATGTGATTGGTGTGTACAGTGTACCTATTACCTTCTCAGCAAATTATTTTCACTGTAGAACTTTGTATTAAAATATAGATTTAAGCCTACGAAACAGCAAAGAGCTTTAGATTTAGAACAACATGCTATATCCAAACATTTACTATTAACAAAGAAGTGTTTGCCATTTGATGCTAATTCTTCGTTCTGACATGTTTATGGTATTTTGTATGCAAATGTGAGGCAGTTTGTGTGTGCAGTTTAAGAGGTGTTTGTAGAGTTTTAACAAAAAAGTGACACGGTTTTGAAAATTTGTGTAGACCGGTGGAAAAAATTGTAATTAGACTCATTTCACTCTAAACCCTATAAGGGTTTATTTATTCTGTGAATTGCTTTAAAGAATGGTTTTACCCTCCTACAGTTATACATTCTGGGTGTATTTGGACCTGATGAATGCTTATTTCCTAAAAGTGTCATAATCTTTTATTTTGTTTTCACAAAAAAACGTGTGTGTGTGTGTGTGTGTGTGTGTGTGTGTGTATGTATGTGTGTTAGAATTACAACATTCATTTTATAATTGTCCTTTAATGTTGTTGTTAACACCACCCCAAATAAACACTTCCCACTCTCAACAGCCTATAGCTTCCCTTTAGGCTATAGCCCTATAAAAAATAAAATAAATAATAATGAATATATATATATATATATATATATATATATATATATATATATATATTTATATATATATATATATATATATATATATATATATATAGCCAGCAAAGCTAAAAAGGAGCACCACAACTTGTCAAAGGTCTTTAAAGAACCAGTAAGGGATGGTATAATTTCTTCTAGTTTTTCTGCACGTAAACACTACTTTTATACATGCTGTTTTATCTTTAGAACTCTTGACTGCTTAAACACTGTGCAAATTTATGAAACTTAAATATTTATTTCAAACAAAACATCAGTATTAAATTAAATATAATAAATATTACCATAAATCTTTTATAAATTATATAATAAAAGGACATTTTTGGTGAAAAGATTGTTGTAATGCAGTGGTTTGTCAATGTTTTTTCAATACATTTGAACTTTTTGCACAACCAGATGTCATCTTTTCCACAGATAAAAATAAGTCAGTCACGCTTGGAACAATAAAGCAAACCCTGTAGTGTCCAAATTGTTTTTGGGGTCATTGCACTTCATATGCATGCCTATCTTGAGGTCTCAGAGCTTTCTTTCTTTGCTCGTAACCCAATCTCTATTATGTTCCTGTCAGGACCTGAAGCTGTCGACAGAGACATGTCGAAAATACAGTCTCTATCACTCGCTTCATCACTACAAATATCACACCTTTCTGCACTGTAAAAAGGAGGTATGCGAGAATAAGAGCTTTTCTTAAGAAATGCGTCACTGTGTCCCTGATAAAAACCCTGTCCTCTCTCTCTCTCATTCTCTATGCTCAGACGGACAGCATTGAACAGGCAGCAGAGGAGGATCCAGGTCAGGAGGAGGTGGTTCAGCAGTGCATGGCCAACCAGGGCTGGCTGGAGACTCTGTTCAATTCCTTTATTGAACTGCTGACGCTTAGCACCAAGGCTTAAGATTCAGCTGTCCACGATCCAAACACGTCCTGTTTGGAGAGAGGAGAAACTGCGTCCTCTCAGATGAAGCCGCTGCACCTCCAGGTTGCAGGAAAATGAGATTTTCCTTTGCAGAATGTGAAAGAGCCAGTGGCGGTTTAAGCTGTTGCATTTTAACATGAAATGTTTTTTGTAAAGCCTTCATTCCTCTCTCTTTCATTATGTGTCAGCTCCCTGCGACTGGAGCCACAGGGAGACGGTATGAAAACAACAACAACGACGACGACAACAAAAAAAAAAGCAAATGTGTAAAGACAGTTGTCTGCACAGAGACAAATAACGATAGTGCCAAAGGGAACAGGGTTGAAAACCTCACTGGTCAGCAGTGGTTTGGCAGAGGTGAGCTTTGAATGCTATGTTCCACGCACACTCTTCTATATAAATATGTATTATGAACAATTATGATTTGTATTATTTATACATGGACATTTATACATGGTTACCTCCCAGAGCTGGGACAGTTTGCTGTTATTATTTTGAATAATAATGCTCATGTTTTATGAGGGTGTACATGAAATGAGCCACCCATAGACCCCCAAACGTCCTGTCCCCTCAACTGAAGGACAAGGCGGGCAGGATGTGGACTAAAGAAGCGGGGTCAAAGCAGTGTGTAGTTCCTTTTTTGTCAACAACAACATCAACAACGAAAAAAAAGAAAATAGAGCAAAAGAAAAAAAACTGTATTTAAAATGAAACGTGTTCTTTCTGTTTGTTCTTTAAAAGAAAATGCGGAAAAAGAGGTGTACGTGTTCGTTTTCTCAAAGAAAACACGACTGTGCAGAGGGATGTAATCGATTTTAAAGTGTGCAAAATGTCTGTGTTTACTGTTTGTTTTTTTATCTGTTGGTTGTTTACGATGATAATTATTATTATTATTAATATTATTTTGGAGGTTTGCTTATTTCTCTCTTCTGTAAATATTGTACAGTTGCTTCAGTCTCTCTCTACCCGTCCCTCATCTGTACATGAATCCTCCTGTATTTGACAAACGCAAATAAAAGAAAAGAAAATGACTTTATGAAAATCATGCATTTTCACAAGAGACTGCCTTGGATCTTTCTTTATTGTTTATTTGTTCTTAGTGTACAAGCTGCTATTTTGCATTTAAGATGTGTATGAATGGAGAGAATGCACTGGAAATCAAGCAGTACAGCCAAGCAACCTGCTCTGAACACTGTAATCATGTTCAAAAGTTCCCAGTGCTGACTAATCACTCTGCAAATGAAAGCGTTTCTCTGAGGAGTTGAATAATGACATTATTTTCATGATTTTTCATGATTCTCGGTGTAGGGTGCCAGCATTCAAGAGTGTCAGACCAGCCTCAGCAGTTCTTCAAGGTAAACATTCCACTCCTGCTGGAGCGCCAGGGAAAAAAAAAGAAGCCGTAGAACTGCATTTCCTGTTGTTACCATGGTAACATTACCATGGCAACAGCAGCAGCATTTTCCAGGAGTGTTTGTCTGTCTTTGGTGTGATGCCCATTTCGCTCTTTGTCTCTTTCTTTCTCCTTTGCTTTTGAGTAGCTTCCTAATTGACTGTTTCTAGCTTATGAGTAATAACAAATAAATCACATTCTCTGCTATAATATAAATTACTTTTATCCTTATTTTAATCGCATCATAGAGAGCTTCATTTTTTCACATTACATATTCTGAACATTTTCATAAGATATAGTTTGCTCCACTATCATGTTTTGTCACTATATTTGTTATGAGTATAAAATATCTTGCCTCTTATTAATCATCATCTTGACATCCACTCCTTCCTTACTGCTCTGTCTCACTACAATCATCATCTTCCTCATCTTCCTCCTCCTCCTCCTGCACAGCGCTGTGTCTCGTCTGGCCACACAGCGGCGCTAGTTTGCCGTCAGTGGTCACTCCCATCGGCTGAATGATCTTGCCCCTGAGCGGATGTGGTGAGCAAAAACAGTTCATTTATTAACATGTTTATTAGGAAATGGGTAAGTAGTGCACTAAACAGTGGTGAAAAGCGGCTGTTTTTATTTTACTGGAGTACTTGGACACATTTTTAAAGTATCTCTACAAGACTTTCATATTTTTTGGAAACGTACTCAGAGGCGGATTTGGGGGCCCTAGCAGTAAAACTCAAAACACTCTCTTTCTCTATAGATATTTATTTTCTCTGTATATGTGTTTTTATGTAAGTAAACTGCATGTTAAAATATATTTTACGTGGAAGCTTTATCTTGTTAATGTAAAATTAAATACAATAAATTCACAAATATAAAACACAAGTTCACAAACTAATTATAAGTACAGTTAAATAACCATTTTTGTGATTAGACTTTAATATCTGCGTGTGCAGTACGGAAAGAACGTTCCACTATTCATGGTGGGGGTCCTCAGTTTTGAAAAGAACTATAAGTATTAAAATCTTAATGATTATAGACAGATTTTACAACATATGATTAAAAAAAATGTATAAAAGACCTTTAGGAATAATATAGGCTTCATGGCATTGGTTGGGGCCCTAAGTGGCTGCTTACCTCGCTTATAGGTTAAGTCCACCCCTGCTTATACTCAATAATTTCCATAACAAAATTTTGTTATTAACTCCCTGAATTTAGTGAAGTAAAACGTTTTTAACAGGAGAAATGTTTGGAGACATGAAGAGTTGCAGGCCCGTAGCCAGGAATTATTGCATTTTGTCTCAAGCCAAATTGAAAAAGAAACTTTTTTTTTTTTTTTACTTGAGTAACATTTTATCAGGCTAGCTATACTTTTAATCAAGTGTGTTTGTCTGCCCCTGCCACTACATTTGTGAAGGATCCCTCTCTCAAACACACACACACACACAAACATACATACCGTGACAGCCTGTTGAACATATTTATGAGTCTGAGCGCCTCTGCCTCTTTCTCTTCTTCAGTCATCCCTTCCATTGGATCAGGCTGTTCCTCCTCCACCCGTCCCGTTACAGGGTTAATCCTGTCCCGGGCCTGTCTGTACTCCTCCGTGTCTGAGTCAGAGTCACTGGAGTACTGTGGTTGAGGAGAAGAGCCACGGCCGTTCAAAAGACCCCGTGCTGCCAACAGTCCAGCTGCATTACCGTAACCAGTGTACTTCACAAACCTGCTCACTGGGAGAGGACGAGATCAAGAATTTCAAACAGACAGCAGTGTTTTAGATGTCACAGTAAGGTGTTTCTCACATAAAGGTCTTTTCTGTTCCAAAAAAGAAGGACATTTTGCAGAATGGAGTGGAGAAAAGATAAAACTCTATCGCTTGGAGATACAATAAATACATTAACACAGCAGTTTCAAGTGCCTATATAATTGGGCCATTTAACAAACCCTTCAATTAGCCAATGCCAAAAAAGGCTAAAAATAGCTAGTTTATTCAGAAAATAATAAATGCTGATTTGTACAAAATACTGAATAATTTATAAACAAAATGACAATGTTTAGATTCACAGTAATAATCCTTTAAATCCACACACACACTCATACACTATGGACAATTTAGGCGACCCAATACACCTGTACCACATGTCTTTGGACTGTGGGGGAAACCGGAGCACCCGGAGGAAACCCACGCGAACGCAGGGAGAACATGCAAACTCCACACAGAAACACCAAACGACCCAGCTGAGGCTCAAACCAGTGACCTTCTTGCTGTAAGGCGACAGCACTAGCTACTGCGCCACTGCGTCACCCCATATAAGCAATTCATAACAACAAAATCTACATAAGATTTGCGTGACTAAAAGAGTTTTAAAACATAACGTTACTTGTCTAAAATAAATACTTCAGCTATGGTGTCGTTCTTTCTCCAAAAGTAACTCCAATATTGATTCAGGATTTTAAAGTTTTGATTCAGCATTTGTTTTTACTCATCACTCTCTCTCTCTTGTGTGCATATTGGACTTTGAAGAGACTTTCAACCAGCACAACAAAAATGTTTCTGAGGACAATCACCTACTGCACCTTTAAGGAAGGATGTATTTTTGTGGGCCAAAATGTGAGACATAGTTAGCACTTCTGGCTTAATTTTTTTAAATACATTTTTGGTTAATTTTGTCATCGAACCATGAGGAAACACTGATTCTGATCTGCTGTCGAGGGAGAACATGCAAACTCCACACAGAAATGCCAACTGACCCAGCCGAGGTTCAAAACCAGCAGCCTTCTTGCTGTGAGGCAACAGCACTACCTACTGCGTCACCGCATCGCCGTCACAGTGTTTATTTACTCCAATAATTTAAATGCTATTTTGAGTTAATAATTTTTGTAAGAAAGCGATTGTGAACTCAAGACTGTAAAAATAAACTACACTCTACATACTATAACTTTGAAACCAATGGTTGAGTTAAAATATTTGGTATTTGGTGGCTTATTTTTTAACCTTTATTGGGTTATTTATTTAATAACTCAACCAGTTGGGTTAAAAAAGTTTGAATTTCAACAGTCAACTGATTTAACTGACACAGAACAGCTGTATTAATATGCTTACATAATGTTGTTTTTGCGTTATAAAGTTTATTTAAGCTCTAACACAATAATGTTTTGCTTTTTGATGAAATTACCTCTGTGTCGTGTGTTTTATATCCGTTTCAACACTCTTAATTGTTGATGATTCGAACGAGCACTTCATAGCTGATCTATATTAAATGGATGAAAACGCTTAAGTGTCTGAAACTTAAAATGTAATGGAAATAAAAGCATTTTTTATATTTTTGAAAACTCTTCTATAGTAGTAGTACTAGTAATAGTAGCAGTAGTAATACCAGAATGGAAAAAATTACATTTATTCAAAATAACCCAATGCAATGGGTTAAAATAACCCATAGTTAGGAAGGTGCTATAATCGTTGGGTTATATGTTGGGGTATTTTTAACCCAAGTATTTTGACTGAGTAAAGAGAAAAGTTTTTTTCCTGTCTGGTATGATGATTAATAATAAGTTGATGTTACTGATGTATGTCATAGAATAAAGCAGGATTTGTTTGAGAGAAAAAGACCAGAGCAGTGATATCTGCCTGGCTGGACTACAAAAAGTACATCATATATGCAGCACTCTGTATTATAACATGTTCATACCATGTTACTTGAAAATCTAAATCATTCAGCAAGACATATGTCATGGTTCAAGAGATGCATTTACATACCATTTTCTTTGCATAGCACAAAGAGAAGCTCAGCTGCACAGTGCTTGATATCAGTGTCGACATGGGTCATTAGTCTCACTAGTCTGCTTCTCAGTGTGTTCCCCTGCTCAGGCCTCAGCTCAACGTCTCTCAGTGGAGGCAGGATCTGCTCAAAAATAGAACAGGTTCAGGCTCCTTGTACACAACCACGAGAATAAGAAGAATATATTGTGTCATATTTAAAGTGCTATGTTTTAAAAGTTCTTCAATAATAATACTTAAATTTAAAGGTCACCCAAGCCTTTAAATGTAGAGCCAAGTGTATTAATATTGTTTCTCAAGTATTGTTTTTTATTATTTTCAAAGGGCCATTAGCTTGCATTCTATGATTCACCTTGACCCAATTTGAAGTCTTCTTTAATGTTCTACTGAGGGAAAAAAGTCAACTACATCTTGGATGGCCTGGGTGAGTAAACTTACAGCAATTTTAAGTTTTACCTGAACAGATTTAACACACACTGAAATGTGACACGTACCTGCTGCCGGAGATAGTGCCTGGTTTCCCTGTGTGCTTTGCTGCTTTCTGTCAACAGGTTTAACACTGGAGTAAGCTTTTCCTTCAGCTTGTGGCCCTGTTTTATTCACATTTAAAGACATAACAATTAGCATGAAATAAATAGTAGCAGGGTCAGAAATGTATATATTCTTTTTATTATGGGCCAATGTTTTACATGGGGCATGGAAATAAGTTTGTTAATTGTCTTAATAATTATGTTCACATTACCTTTTATGCCAATTGCATAAATTGAATCAGTTACTTCAGTCCATCAGAATACTATAGATTGTTCGAAAAACATTAAGCTGGTTACAATTGTATGTCAATAAAGCATTGAAGGAAAATCATTACAGGGTGGGCTGCAATGACAAAAATACATTTAATATTGTAATATTGATTTTTAATATTGTTTAATAGAATAAGGCCAACCTTTTGTGCTTGGAGAAATGGCACATCATCATCTCGCCATACAGACATAACATGTTTTTTGCCTCCTTATACTGAATTTGTGTAACAAGCCCATATTTATTTCTGACCCTGAATTATACACATGCAGAATATTTTAGCCCCATCTCAGTTTTTTCAAGAGCTTTTTAAGAGATTGCTGATTTGAAAATGAAAATTCTACCAGTTTAGTTATGTAAAATTGAGTCCCAATTTTAAATAACTAATAGGTGCTTAAATGAAAAAAATAAATAAATAAAAACAAGTACAATGTAATTACATACAGATTCCGTCACTGCGTAATCTAGTTACTGTTTGTGTAATTTAAAGCATATTTTTCTTGTTTGATCCCTGGATTGTTTATCATGTTTTTGATTGATTACCACCTGTCTTGACTATTCACCTGGTTTTTTTGCACTACGCTCTTGGAGTGTCTTTTTTTTTGTTCTTCCCCTGCCTGTTTCACCATGAGACTGTTTTAAAAAACACATAGACATCTACTCCTCCCTCACATGTTCCCTACACTATAAATATATAGTGGGACTAAAATCTGTCATCACTTTCGCTCCCTTATATTATAGCAAACACGTTTATTTCTTCTGTGAAACAGAATATTGGTTACCAAACTATTTTGGTTAAAGGGATACTTCACCATAAATTGAACACCATGTCATAATTTACTCACCCAACAGACTTGTACCAAATCTGTTGTTTTTTTGTTCTGTTGAAAATATATTAAACAATGTTGGAAACCTGGAACCCCTCACACTGGTTTGGAACAAGTCAAGGGTCTGTTAACATGAGAGTGTTCATTTTTGGTTGAGCTATCCCTTTAACACTTAGCTAAAACATTTATCAAAATATTTTCTTTAAGATACACTTTTTTTTTCTTTTTGGTAAACTTATTTAGCATGTTTTGGAAACTGAATTCCAGTCTATGCAGTTTTTCGAAATCAAGCCATTAACCTTGGCGTTACAAGAGCCGTGCTCATTCTCACTCTGTCCAGTCTTTTCTCCATGAAGAGCAGCAAAGTGTGGACACAGTCCATGTTGACACCACCAGACTCCTCTGAACCTTCAGACAGGCGAACAGAAAGCAGGACATCCAGGCACTGCAGAGGGAGCGCTGAGAGCACATTCACTGTGTGTCTGTGGACATTCAGCACAAAAGAGATGAAGATCAAGAGCAAGAGACCTCTCCAGACTTCATCACACTGGCTTGATTCTCATTCTCACCCTTGCAGCTCCTCTTTTCTGTCCTCTCCCTCACAGGGCACGAGCAGGCAGTGACGCAGGACTGCAGCTAGGCGACGGTACAAAGCTGCAGCCTCCTGAGCCAGGAGAAAGAGAACCAAAATGTTAATGGTAAAATCAATTTTTTCACATTATACCATTGTTAATATATTAGGGAAAACATGTTTTTACAGATGAAAATCATCTTTTTTTAGTATTTCATTGTACAACAAATGGTTACTTTTTTGTATATCTGCCTTTCATTTCTTCTAATAGCATCACTTTCATAAAGCGACAAAAATGTCATGCAAAAAACTGTTGGAATGATTTTAGAAACAAAACGTAGTTAATGTAACTCAAGGATACATTGTTTGAATCCATTTCTTCGTTATAATTTATTTAAATTGTGTTAAACAGACATCAATTGACATCATCGTGCAAGATTCATTTTGGGTAAAGAACTCAGGATCAGTGAGTATCAGCAATGCATTTGAAAAAATATGTGATGTTTTATGCTTTTATTTGGTTTGTCTCTGTTTAATATTTAAACAACTACTTTAAAATACAGGTTCCTAATTTTGTTCTATGAAGAAACTATAACATTCATCTTTTGTACCTTAATTTTTTGAAAGTGTTTAAAAAATATAAGTTTTTAAAGTTTCTAAAACAAAACAAAAATGTTTATCTTTCAAAACACCACTAAAAGGTTTTTTAAACATCAAATTGGATTGTTAGGAGCAATGATTAATTATTAAATAATTAATTAGTTATTAAATTAGTAATTAACTAGTTAAAAATATAATAAAAGAAAATACATATTGAAAAATCTAAACCAACCCTTAATCTTTAACAATTACCTGCCTGTGTAATATTGTACTATTTTTTATATACATAAATACGTTAAATATAGAGTTAAAAGATGGTTATTATAGTCAAAGAAATAACAGCATTTACCTCGTCTAGGTCCTGTCTGTGCACACTGTAGGTGATGTTGAACAGGGTCTTCAGGATCTCCAGGGCTCGCTGAGAAAGTTCCTTACACAAAGGTGGAGCTGTCAGGTCAGTCAGCACTTCGTGTGTTTCACCCCAGATCACGTCTAAACACTGTTCCAGAGCTGCGGTCAGCATGGACACACCACGCTCCTAACGGCAGGAAAAACACAGATTGAGTTTAACAGAAGTATTTGTAGCCATTTCTTTTATATAGTGTGTGACCCCTAGAGCAGTGTATTTAATCCACTAGAGGGCCTCTGTACATTTTCAAGATGATTTTTTAAGTGATTTACAACGATACAAATCAAACAAAAACCCTATAAACAGCTAAATACAGTGTGTGCATTGACCTTTTGTTTTAAATGAACAGCTTTTTATTACACAAACATTACCCAGTACAAAGGTTTTTATCAAATTAAAATATGTGAAAACAATATTTCATTTCATTTTAGCAAAATTCAAACAAACAAACTTTTTTTTTTAAAAAGCTTAAGTTCAGCTAAATGTTTAATTTTTCCTCACATACACATTAAAAAGTAGAAGTGTAAAATGACTGCGTTCATGAGCACAGTGCACTGAAATACACCCTGGACGCTGCGCACAATTTCCTCTGTTTGAAACAAAACACAAGCAACAAAGGGTTGTTGCTTGATTAGATATAATTGTGACATACGGAGGTTAATGAGAATGATTTATATTATTTATTACATTTCCCATAATTGTATTTTATTAACCCACCACACAGCACCCTCACCCAAACCAACAGTAACGTAAAAACAGTAGTTGTATCAAATATTTTTTTGTTATCTATTAAATTACCCAATAAATTTATTTTTTAAAATCTACCCCTACCAAAACTTTTAACCTAACCGTCACAGTACTGTAAAAATATTTATTATTGTTATCCAGTGTCATAAAAATTGCTGCCATATTGATGTGCAAATCGTACTTCCGGTCGGCTGTGTATCCCATTTATTCTTTACCCATAAAAAAGTAAAACATCAACAGGTGACCGAGTATGAGACACACAACACTCTTGTGCCCTATTTTGACACTGAGGAGAAGAAACTGTTGAATAAAGTTGTTATTTTTGCTTTATGTGCACACAAATGTATTCTCGTAGCTTAAGAATATTTTGATTGAACCACTGAAGACATGTGGTCTGTGTTGGGGTTGTTTCTGGTATTTTTCTGGACTTTGAATAAGTCGAGAACCTTGCAGTCTATGGAGGATGAGAGAGCTCTATGATTTCATCTTGAATATCTTAATTTTTATTCCGAATACAAACAAAAGTCTCAGGGATTTGGAACGCCATGAGGGTGAGTAATTAATAACATTTATTATTAGAGCTTGATTAGCCAGCCCAGATGTGTCTAATTAGGTTTGGAACTAAACTCAGGGTTCATACACATTTTTACTACAAAAAGTCCATGACCTTTTCAGGACTTTCAAGTCAATGCTTATGACCCAATGTTTCATCTATGTAATGCTAAGTCATAAGAAAAACAATGCACGTTTAAATTTATTACAGCATATCATAAAACACATAAAAATCTCTTTAGTTTAAGTTAATTTTTATATTTACTGTATGTAAAATAGATGATGCTTACACAGCACTAATGGTGTGAGACCATGTTTCTGGCCAAGAAAAGAAATAAAAACATCTAACCTCCATTCCAGATTACAGATATTTGACAAACTAATTTTAAATAATGGTAATAGTTTGCTAAACTAGTAATAGTTGGTAAAACTACTTCTGTAGGTAAAACTTAAGCTGCGATCACACTGCACTTTTTACTCCATAGACTTCCATAGGCATACGAATGCGGCAGACCAAAAAATGCAAGCATGTGCAACAAGTTTCACTGCATTCGAAAGTTCAAGCTTGGTGAATTCTTAAGCTTTTGCCGCCGACTTGCGGCACTGGTGTGTGTACCCTGATAGAAACCTATGTTTAGAATTCTGAAATGCGTGGCGCTGCGCGGCGCCGAGCGACGCTTCTGGTGTGCGACCTGTTTTAGACCAATAGACGACAGTTAAAAATAAGTAATTTTAAATATGGAGCAATCGCTCACTTTTATTAACGTCTAATCATTTTAACCCCGCCCCTTTTCGCAGCCCCATACGTAAGAGTTTCACAAGCACAATATCTAGTGTGACCACAGCTTAGGTCGCTTTGGACAAAAACGTCTGCTAAATGACTAAATGTAAATGTAATTTCCATTACTTTTCCAAAACCTTGTGGGTGTTTTTAGTTTTTCCAAAACTTTTCCAGGGGAGGGGGGTGGGGGTCAGTCCTTTAATACTAAGAAATAGTTTGCTCTGATCTGTATTTTAAATGTTTACAATAATAATTACAATAATAGATAATAAAAATATACATTTGATCACACCCCTATAACGGTTTGTAACACTGTGGACATGATTTATTCAATAGTCTGAAACTGCAGATGTAGACCCCTACAAAAGACTGTTTTCTCAAAAAATATAAGTTTGTTTCTACATACAGCCTACAAGTAAAGTCAAATTAGATGTATAGTTTGTATAATTTGAACTACATTAACTTCTAAATTAGCTAATCAGAGTATACTGTAGGGTAGAGTACACTAAATATCCCTCACCAAACTGAAATGCATAAATTTAATTAACTGAAGCATGTATTAGACAAATGAAATTAACCAAAAAAGTTGACCACCCCGACTGTCAATGCATAATTCGGACCATGGGCGCAGCTGCATCGTTCAGTCAACCAATGGGTCAGCTACTGCGCCCGTGAAGTCCCTCTGCTTAATGGGCACATGTTTGCATGATCTATAATTACCTGGCAGAGTTCAATCCTGAGCTCAGGCCGTAAAGCAGTCAACAAAAACAGAAGCCGCAGTTCATAAAATTGACCGCTTGGAGGTGATGAGGAATGTATCCCATCTTTAATTCTCACTGATAGGCCATGAAGTAACCTGGTCGAGAAAAAAACAAAGCACATGACAGTGAGTTTTCACAACTATTCTGACCTACTCAACAAAACCATATCTGGCAAATGTTTCAAACTGTGAGTCTCACCTCAGTGTGCTGGCTCTCTCTTGTGCTTTCGGGCTGTTGTAGATGACATTGCACAGGGTTTTCATCGCCTCTTTCCTCCAGATCTCACCATCATCATGTCCTTCCTCACCCTCCTCATCCCTCTCTCCTCTGGTCTCCCTCTTTCCTCTTGTCAACAGCCCACACACTCCATCTTTCCTTACACTTTCTTCACAGTGGTCGTTTTGTGTTTCTCTGGGATTAGATGTATTATTCATAGGGCTGAAGTGCAGACCTCCTTCTCTGACCGAAGACGCAGCGCAGACTGTAGAGCCACAACATGAATCATCTGTCTCACTGCAACATGCTGGACATTGGGTGTTGGTGTCATTATCTGGAAGTGTGTCAGTCTCGTTCTCAGGAGCGACGTCGTTGTGTGAGGAGCCCCACTGATCATCCTCTTCCTCAGGCCAGGTTGGCAGGGCAGAGATGCCCCCGAGCCGAGCGAGAGTTATGATGGCATAGTCTGTAATCAGGGGTGCCAGAGCCTTTCGGTCCCGTGAGATGATCCTCAGAGTTCGCAGACACACTCTCAAAACGCCCGGCTGCAGGCGCATGCGAATAAACCAGATCAGAGCCGCAGCGAGCCTCTGAAAGAGATAGACATCAGGAAAAGATATTTGAACCCTCTGTGTTTACAGACAGATAGACAGAGAGAGAGTTGGATGGATGGGTCTGTGGATAAATTAGGTAGGTAGGTAGGTAGATGATAGATAGATAGATAGATAGATAGATAGATAGATAGATAGATAGATAGATAGATAGATAGATAGATAGATAGATAGATAGATAGATGGATGGATGGATGGATGGATGGATGGATGGATGGATGGATGGATGGATGGATGGATGGATGGATGGATGGATGGATGGATGGATGGATGGATGGATAGATAGATAGATAGATAGATAGATAGATAGATAGATAGATAGATAGATAGATAGATAGATAGATAGATAGATAGATAGATAGATAGATAGATAGATAGATAGATAGATAGATAGATAGATAGATGGATAGATGGATGGATGGATGGATGGATGGATGGATGGATGGATGGATGGATGGATGGATGGATGGATAGATAGATGGATTTTGAATTAACTTTAACCCATGGCTGTGATGTGTGGGTTGCTGGGTCTGCACTTTTTTGGCAATATGTGTGAGAGAAGTTTTGTTTGACTCACTCTCCGCAGAACAAGGTCTGGATCCTCACTGTTATCAGAGTCACAGTCTGAGTCAGAGTCTGGAACGTACTCTCTCACTTTATTCCTGCGGAACTGAGTGGAGCAGAACAAACACACATTCAGAAAAGACGATACAATGTGAGGTTAAACAGACTTTAGCAGTTATGAGAGGTGACAGGAGAAAAGAATCACGTCGATGTCTGCATATCAAACTCAAGATGCTGATTTAAATGCTGACCTGCTTCTTCAATATTTAACTTCACTGAAGTTCATTGAAGACCAATAAAAGCTTCGGGTGTTATCCATGAACACAGGGAGAGATTATAAAAGCTTTATTTTGTGGGTATGAGCGTGACGAACAGCGTTAAATGGCTTTTGTGGAGGTATAAGTACCAATAAATTCTCTTTTTGACAGATGCCGCAATGATTGGTACTCAGTAACAACAAAATAATGAGCCCAAAAGAGTTTACAGGTCCATCCGGCCCAGTTACTATGTACAAGTGCCACAGGGGGACATAGACAGTGAAAATATTACTTACAGATTACACACCTCTCTCATTTTTTCCTCACTCCGTATACTTTATTTAGTTCATTCATTTTCTTTTCAGCTAAGTCCCTCTATTAATCAGGGGTCGCCACAGCGGAATGAACCGCCAGTTTATCCAGCATATGTTTAATGCAGTGGATGCCTTTCCAGCTGCAACCTATTACTGGGAAACACCCATACACACTCTTTAACACGCATACACAACGGCCAATTTAGCTTATTCAATTCACCTATATACCGCATACCTTTAGATTGTGGGAAAAACCGGAGCACCTAGAGGAGAGCCACGTGAACATGTGGAGAACATGCAAACTCCACACAGACATGCCAACTGACCAAGCCGAGACTCTAACCAGCCACTTTCTTGCTGTGAGGTAAAAGTGCTGAGCCCCCATGTTGCCCACTACTTTATTCATCTATACAGAAATACTCTGAAGGTCATGTGAAAGATTTACCTCTTCCAGCTCTCTTTGCTGTTCTCGGTTCAAGCATTGGAGAATAATGAGGAAAGAGAAGTAACAGGATAGAAAACATGCTTGTATTATATATCCACTGAATAAATGAGATGAGATGAGGATGAACTGAAGGATAAGTGAAGGTGGATGAGTGAGATTTACATTATTAGCTGTGTTAATCCAAACCATGTGTGCCCTCAGATTGAGGACGGAGGATAAACAAACATAGAATAGACGTCACACTTTACCTTTTTTCTCTCCCTTTCTTCCACATCAAAAAAGAAGCATTGTGAGTTCTGTAAATAACAAAAGAATTGAATTAATAGGTGAACTATATGAGTGCTCCTGTCAGATTAGACAGATTAAAACTTAAGACCGCACCACAAAAACTATAAAATGACTAGGCAAGTAATGAGAAACCCCCTTCAGGTTTACCCCAGTCCTGTTGTCATGGAAACTGCAAATATCTGAGTGTTGGTGAAGTAGTAGGAGAATCTAACAGTTTTTTTTTTCTGGCGTGCACAGCGGTGATCATATTAAGCACAGAATTAATCTTATTATGTTTAATGAAATTTCAGCACGTTGTAATGGTTTTTACCTCAGTGTTGTAATCATCCAGATGACTTTGAACATTGTCTTGGTCGCCTTGTTTGATGAACTGAATAATCTTCTCCACATCCACAGTCATTCCTTATTATAATACAAAATATATAAAGATCATTTACATTTATGAAAAGAACAAAAAAAGAACATACAATAGAGATGCATTCATATCACTGCACTTACCCTCTGTGGTGTTAAAAGCTGTTTTTTTTTAAATAAAGGTTTTCCCTTGGGTTTCCCTGCAAACAATACTTTTTACTGAGTGTAGGCTGTGTCAGTCTTCATGGGTTCCTCTTTGTAATCTGACAGGCCTCAGATTTAGCTTTGAGTTTCCCTAAACTAATCCCACCCATCCTCTCTCACTCTTTCACAACACTGCCAAATCTATGCCTCCATTTTAGTTTGGTATAAACCAGGGGTGCCCAAACTTTTTCTTATGAATGGCCAAAAAACAAACATAATTGAGGGCTGTGGTGGGCCGAAGGTAAATATATCAAACTGTATTACAAAGTTGCCGTGGGTAATTTCGTATTTTTTTAAATAATGATATTTGGTTAACTATTGCATGATACAGTTGAAGTCAGAATTATTAGCGCCCCTGTTTATTTTTTCCCCCAATTTCTGTTTAATGGAGGGAAGATTGTTTCAGCACATTTCTAAGCATAATAGTTTTAGAAACCTATTTCTAATAACTAATTTATTTCATCTTTGTCATGATGACAGTAAATAATATTTGACTAGATATTTTTCAAGACTTCTGTACAGCTTAAAGTGACATTTAAAGGCTTAACTAGGTTAATAAGGTTGAACTAGGCAGGTTAGGGTAATTAGGCAAGTTATTGTATAATGATGGTTTGTTCTGTAGACTATCGAAAAAAAATTAGCTTAAAGGGGCTAATAATTTTGAACTTAAAATTGTTTTTAAAAAATTAAAAACTGCTTTTATTCTAGCCGAAATAAAACAAATCAGACTTTCTCCAGAAGAAAAAATATTATCAGACATACTGTGAAAATTTCCTTGCTCTGTTAAACATAATTTGGGAAATATTTAAAAAAGAAAAAAAATCTAAAGTATATATCAGTGTATATACAGTTGAAGTCAGAATTATAGACCCCCTGTTTATTTGTTTCTCCAATTTCTGTTTAACGGAGAGAGAAGATTTTTTTCAACAGATTTCTAAACATAATAGTTTTAATAACTCATTTCTAATAACAAATTTATTTTATCTTTGTCAAGATGACAGTAAATAATATTTAACTAGATATTTTTCAAGACACTTTTATACAGCTTAAAGTGACATTTAAAGGCTTAACTAGGTTAATAGTGAAACTAGGCAGGTTAGAGTAATTAGGCAAGTTATTGTATAATGATGGTTTGTTCTGTAGACAGTCAAAAAAAATTAGCTTAAAGGGGCTAATAATTTTGTCCTTAAAATGGTGTTGAAAAAATATCTGCTTTTATTTTAGCTGAAATAAAACAAATAGGAGTTTCTCCAGAAGAAAAAATATTATCAGACATACTGTGACAATTTCCATGCTCTGTTAAACATTATTTGGGGAATATTTAAAAAAGAAAAAAAATCAAAGGGGGGCTAATAATTCTGACTTCAACTAATTTAATTTTTTTTTACATTTTATAATTAATTTATTATAATAAAAACAAACAATTACATTTATAACACAATGATAAATTAGAAAACATTTGATTAAAACATTTGATTCAGGCTTGTTTATTTGTAGCTCAACAATAAAACGAACAAATAAAAGATTATATATGTTAAATTAGAAATGATAATCTTTATTAAAGTCATTTCCCCAACCCTCCCCTTCATTGTTTCTGTCTCCTCAGATGGGGTGGTGGGCAAAGCCAAAGGTTTTGGGCCAGTTTTGGCCCACGGGCCCAGACATCACTAGCTCCATTGAGTGCATTGTGTCTGACATTCCATATTTAAGAGAAGCAATCTACACTCGCTTCTTAAAGACTGCATCCAGATACTATTGGTCATCTCTGTTACACGCTTAAAATTAAAAGTTCCTCATTGCCATTGATGGCTCCAAAAATGACCACCTTCCGTCCTTTTCACGCCACAAAATATTATGGCATTATTTGGTTCCTCCTGGCACCTTTAATTTTAAGAGCAGTATATATATATTTTCTTTTTGTATTAATAATGCTAAAACAATACAATTTACTGCAAGAGTTATCCTCAGAACAGGAGCGCTAATTAGCGAGAAAGCCAATAGGGCCAGACAATAGGAGTTAGGGAAAAAAAGCTGCTATGCTGGCATTCAGACAACAGTGAGAAAAAGACAGAGGGTTGGAAAGAGAGAGAGAGTAAAGGAGAGATGAAAGCAGCGCAGGTTTATATAAAGCTTAATAGGGGTAATTAAATAAAGTGGGGGTCAGAAAGAGAAAGGCTGGGGTGAGCTGATAGGGGTAATTATTTGTACTGATTGAAGGTGATTAATTGAGGCTAGTTGTTCAGCACATGATGGACCCTCATAAAAAGCAGGGTGCGTTAGGACAGAAACAGAAGGGAGAGAGAATAACTGGCTCTCGGGACACATTCACTCTTGACAGGACACAATCAAAAGAGAAAGACTTGCTGTTTTTCGCTTTATAGTCTGTGAAGTTTCCTCTTAGGGAGAATAATGCAGGGGTCGGGTCTTCTGCTGCTGTCTCTGTGCGCCGGCTCTTTGCTGACCCACAGTGGCGCGGGAGGGAAGCGGAGGCTGTGCGGGATTCAGCTCGTGGAGGCGCTGCTGATCGTCTGCGGAGAGAAGGGTCTCTTCCACCAGCCCTGGGGGAAGCGTGTTCGAGAGCACAAACTCCGTAAGTTACCATGCGCAAAGCTTTTTGCCTGATAACCTTCATTCAGTCAACTTTACAGTAGCTTACTGAGATTTTTTCACTTTTATTGTAAAGCTGACAATATGTTACCAAAAATTGAGCATTTAACAGGCTCGTAGAGAGGGGGAGTTTGGGTGTTTCGAAAGACACACGTACCCCCCTACTGACAAAGTCCAGAATTTGGCCTCTACCATTTGTACAATTTTTGACAGTATGCCATCATAAATTGTGAAAATAACGATTAGAAGAAGGCTTTAACCATATAAAGTCGAGTTTACACGAGTTTTAAAGACCTATATAATATCAACCTAATCAATGTTTTATTTTAAAACAAGTTGTGTGTGATTTGATACTTCGCCCCCCTTGTGGACTTTCATGACACTGCAGGCAGTGGAAAGGCTTTTTTTTTTTACCTTTTTAATTACTCGAATGCTTTTTGGCTGGAAACTATTTGCTAATTTCAATATATATTATTAATAATAAATTTTATATTTACTGTGTAACTAATTTTATTAAATAGAGTTTTTTTATTGAAACAAAGCACAATAATCGATTTCTTATGTTACAAATAAATTGTGTTGAAATTGCATGCATTGAATTTCATACAACGACTATAAAAGGTGCTTTATTTCCAAACAATCATGTTACATTTTTGTAATGTAATCTACTACAATGCAAACACAGTATTTGTATATGATTTAATTAGTGACCGAAATGCCATCTTAAAATACACATGGGGGTAAACTATATTGATCAATTTACGTGTATTTTTAGATGTCAAAAAGAACAGAGAAAGAAGATAGAAAATAAAGTTTTAAAGATGTCATCAATGCAAAAATGTGTGGCAATTAAAGTGCTATAGAGCAGTTAGAAAATCAGGAGGATGGACTCCTCTAGCCATTCAGGATGATGGTCATTCAGACAGCTGTAATGGGGTCAAGAAGTAGGCCTACTGCAAGTTTAGTCCAGACAAGAAGTTGAGGTCCCAACAACACACAGAATGTCAGCAAAGTGCAACGCAGTGCTTTCTGACTGTGTTTGTGCTGTTGGGACCTCAGTTTCTTGTCTGGACTACAATTTTCTCTTTAGAATCTTCCTCATCATTTTTTTTGATTCTGCTAAATAGTTTAATAAACATTTCAGTTCCAGAAAAGTAGAATTTTCTGCCTATTATTTTGATATGTCAGGTCTTACAGAAGAACAACCAATAAAATATGCATTAAAAGAAGGTTAAATGGATAAATTCAGAGTGAGAAAATGAGCTGTCTAGTTTGTTGTTCGCTGGCTAGAGTTTTAATTTAAAACAAGTTTTAACGGATTGGCAATTTTCTATTGTTATTGTTTGTTGTTTATGATGGATGATAATAAATTCATTCATTCATTCATTTTCTTGTCGGCTTAGTCCCTTTATTATTCTGCGGTCACCAGAGTGGAATAAACCGCCATGATAATAAATAAGCATTAAAAAATTTGTATTTTTTCATATTTATAAAATTCTAATCTTATTACATTATATATGAAACTAAAATAACCACAGTTTAAACAAGTTTTCAAGCATCAAAACAATAAAAGATCAATTTAAGAGATCAGATCAAATTAATTCAGATCAAATTATTAAGGATATTTAATTGATTATCTTTTCAGACTTTCTGTTCCAAATTCAACCTCAAAATATATACAACACTGATTCATTTTTGTAAACAATTAGCAATGTAATGCATCATTTTACATATCTATTATGCTGAATGATGTTGAAACATTTCACATGCATTTTGACTTTATTTAGACAAAACAATGTATTTAAATAAAGTAAACGCGTTTATTATGCATATACAGGTTTCCGACCTCTTTGATTTGATCTCCCCGAAGACCATATAAAATGTCACAATGTCTCTTGTCTCACTCGCAGAGTGTACAGCAGAGTAGTCAACATTCCTTGGAATATTAAATGTATAGCGTTATGCATGCATGGTTTACCCGTTTTGGAGCCTTTTTGGTGACAACCAGTCATTGATAACACTCTTTCCACAGGCATCATGATTAGAAACAGCGCCACCTTCCTGCAGTAGAGTGGAGAGAGAGACGCGTTTGAGAAGAGGGGCATTGTGGAGCAGTGCTGTCATTTTTCTTCTGCGATGACCTGGAGAATTACTGTAACACAAAGAAATCACCAGTGCTACTTCTGCATATACTTCACCTGAGTAATGATAACTAGAACCTATTAAGTGCCGCAGGTTTGAGCCTGTTTGGATGTGATCAGGAGTAAATGAGGGTTTATTTGAAATGTTACACAATGGATATGTTTCCAATAAAACAAATGCAAACATATATAGCTGTTTGCTTTTATTGGCACAAACAAGTCTGCCCTTATGAAGATGAACTGATTTCATTACAATACAACCATAAAACCATGGTTATTGTACATGTTAACCACAAAATCATCACAGTTTTGCTGCAGTAGCCACAGTTTAACCATATTTGTTATATAAATATGTTCATACAGATGAAAACATGGCTACTACACTTTTGCTTTAATAAATGCATGGTCAATGATTACAATAAATAAGTCAAGACTGGTCATTACTTAAATTATTATTGCATTCATGCAGCTCATGCAGTAAAAGCAACATTAAAGGGTTATCATTGGTTTGACTTTGCATGATTATGTATGGCAGCATCTTAGGCTAATTTTGATTAAACAAAAGCACTTGCCAAGTATCAAACGGAATAACTTGTGATTCTTGAAAATTATCAATAGGCTTTTAATATTTCGATGGTAAAATGATATAACAATTTAGTTTAACTAAGAATCTAAAATCTTCCAACCATTAAAGACTCATTTTAAATTAGGAGAATTGTGCTGCTTTGTAAACATCAGATTTAAACAATCACAATTTCAGTCCAGCAAGACTGTTCTCGGTTATTGTCGAGATTTTCTATTTACTACAGTTTTTCTCATACATCACACACACGCAGACATTTTTTTTTATTTCCGATTTACGTCGTCGCCAAAGAAGACGTCTTTGATGAAAAACTACATTTCCCATAAGCCCGTGCCGGCAGTTTCGGTAGGGAAAGCAAAATGGCGGAATCGGATGGGATGGGCCTCTTATTGTGTTCCTAAAAAAATGTTTCGTGCCTCTGAATTCTGTTTTAAAGTTATCAAAAACACCGCTGAGGGATTTAGCAGGTTCTCAGCTTTGGAATTCACTAGCCGATTCACCTCTGCGCCATGAAGGTAAGTGGCTCTTGTAGCTTGTCTAACTTAGCTAGCAAGCTAACCTCTGTGGTCGACACATTTTTAGCCAGTCAATTATTTCAGCGAGTGCGCGGTGTTTTCCTAAAATTCAACACTGAGATGAAAATGAGTTTGCAATGCTAATTTTATTCAGAGTTAGCTGTATGGCACTGGCGCTTAATCTTAATTAAAGATATATACGCATAGGCAAAATGCTGCAGTAACGTTACAACGTTTGATAACGTTAGCTAGATAGATCTACAGATATATAGACAGATAACAAGCATCGTCTTGTAGCATCACCTTAAATCAATTTCATCCAGTGATCGCGATCAATGATATCAGAGGGTCGAGATCCAAAGGCATTGAGTTGAATGTCAACACAAGCTTTCTGTTAAGTTACCCGAGTGATTAAGCTTCCCCGAGAGGTCTTCAAGTTAAAGACCGAGATTTAATGCCTAAGTAGGTTAATATATTCCCCGGGTTTTAGTTTATTGGCATGTGCAAGCGCAGCTTTATGGTATCTCGAGCGAATGTTTCAGATCTTTGTTATGTTGTTGTCTGCTGTGTGTAGATGGGAACAGATGGACAGGCTGAAAAGGATGAAGCAGATGTTGTGCCAGGAGAGGTGAGTGTCTTATGAAGCGAGATAAAGCTACTTGTTTGTGCAGGAGCAAGTTGGATGCTTACTGTAAATAAATAATTAGAGTGTGCGTTTAAGTTTTATTGGAGTGAATGTTCAGGTCATATTTTTTTTCCATGTACAAATGACCAATTCCAAACCACATTGGTCTTAACGACAATTAATTTTCTATGTCAATGATGTTTAAATTTTTCGATCAGGATTGGAAGTGTGAAACATCTTATTTTCATGTGCAAATAATTGTGAAGAAGCTTTTCTTGTGCAGCACAAATAGTTAAAAGTTTGATTTGTTTCACTTTGGAAAGTCAGTAATGTACATGAGAAGGATTCTGTTCTATAGAAACTGTCGAATTATGAACTGTTGAACCAAGAATTATACAGGAACTGGGCTATCTCTGCGACCGGTTTTCCCCATTTGTCTTTAAAAGTAACGTTTCACACAGACATGATGTTCTCCAAAAAATGACCCACACCGAAGAAGAATCACAAGATTATTTGCTAATGATAAAGAGTTGAACTCTCACAACTTATTGCCTGATTTAGAAATCAAATCTTCAAATAATGATACAAAAGAAATGAGAAACGAAAGAGTAATTTGTTTGGTGTAATTCAAATTTATACTTATTATCTTGTTTGTTGTGTGGTGTTTAAGGATTCTTTAATCTATTCGTTTATTTGGTTATTGTCATGTTTAAGTATTATTTACCATAACACTCATTCTTGAATGTGCTTTTCTGTCTTGTAGTCACAGACTGAACAATCTCCTAATGAAGAGGAGGAAGTGGAGTCTAAAACAGACAGAAGGACACTTGGCTTAAGATGTTTCCAAGGAAACAGAGAGACCTCAGAGGATGAGCCTAGTGAACTGGTAAAGTAAAATCATTTTGACCATTTGCATAACCATAAGTTGCTGCGTTAAGCTTAACTACTTGTAGATGTTGTATGCATTGTCTGTCTGAAATTTACCCAGTGTGGATTAAGTCATATTAGGTAATTGAACTGTTTATTTGCTTTACACTCTTGTAGGGTGCTGCAGCTGTTGCTTCTTCTGAGCCTGTGTTTCTTGTGCCTCAGCTAAGCTCACATCCTCAGTTTCTGGGCTGGTAAGAATTATTATATTATAATTGAGGCCATAAAGTAAAAAAAAAAGCTTGATAATAGCTGCGAATGTCCTATCCATACTGGACTTAATTAGCTATTTAAGTGGTCGTATTTTAAATGCAGATACATGAGGGATGTGCTTTTACATTGCTATAAATTGTGCTTCATTATATTAGATCACACAGTAATATCTGTAAATTACTAGAACATATTTACCAGTAAATATAAAATGTGCTGTTCGCACAACTGAATTCTGGAAATTTATTGGTAATGTTACAAGCTTTCATAATAATTTATCTAGCATTTTTAAAAATAATATACTTCTTGTCAGTTGATAGACTTCCACTAGTTCTGTTAGGTCAGTGCAATTTTGTCATTTTAGTCTGTTTAAACAAAGACTTTGACAAATAATATTTGCTCTAAATTTGTTTAACTTGAATTGTTCATTTTCAATTTTGTTGTTGCAATAGTGAAAATTACTTGCAGTGCAAGTTAAATTCAGAACTACTAACCTAACCATTTTATAGCATGTTTTGTATTATATTATGTAATTTTAAAAAATTAAGATAATGCATGTATGTGTATATATATAATTATTATCATTTTTATCACCTTCAGCGATTTTGATGTGGAGTTAACCGCAGAAGTGAAAGTAGATGATGGTGCATCTCTTGCTTTGTTGACATCTGTTACCCCAAACCTTCGTTACCAGAAGCCAGGTTGGTGCAAGTCTGCTAATGACCTTGTAATGCCTAGTTCACACTAAAGGACTTTAAGCCTGATTTGAGCCCGATTTGGAAGTTAACGAGCTCGCCGACAGATCGGGCTGTGATCGGGAAGAAATCTGCGGGTGCACGGCGCTCGCCGCTCTTTATGTGTGAACTACTGAACAACGCATCAACGAGGCTCGCTGACACCTCGCAGACGGAAATCCAACATTCAGCATGCTAAATATTCCAGAGCAGTCGGCCGACTCAACCCCACGTGTGGTCAGATGTAGTGACGAGCTGCAGCCAATGAGAGAGCATATCAGCATGAGCCACGTGCCAGTGTGTTCAGGAGCTCAGCAGAAACATCTGTGATTGGTCAGAATGGGCATCGGTGCACTGGCTTCATTCTGCGTTAGCACAGACATGAGAGGAGGATATATTAACAGTGGAACTAGAATTCTGTAACTATTAGAATTACCATACTGCTCATTCGGATCGTTCTTATATAAAACGCCATATTGTCACAGCAAATTTACATTCAAAGCTATTATTGAGATATTAAAATTAAGCTTTGAATGTCTGGCATCATATTTAATGACACCATTACCCTAAAAATATAATCTTTTTTTTTTTGTAATACAGCCTATAAATATGTAGTTAAGATACTAAAACACTTAAAGGTCTTGGCTTTCATTTTCACTTTCAAACACGAGCTATTTCACAGCACATAATATGCTGTTTTTAAAGATTTCTAAAGTAAATTGATGTTTTTGCCATCAGGAAGTTTTGTTTATGTTAGCAGGAAGTTGCTAGGCAAGAAAATGCACACATATTTAAAGTCACAGTGAAAAGTATTAGACATGCATGCAGTCATTTTAACCAATATGGTAATTTAAGGCAGAAATGCTCAGTTCTTTACTGTTTTGTAATAAAAAAAAATAACAATGTCAGAAAGAAATACACTAATAGTTAGAAAACGCCAGGGTGTTATAAATATGTTAGTTTTATTTCAAAGAGTTATAAAATTACAAAAATTAAAAACTCTCTGTGTATCTATCCACTGGAACCTGCAGATGAGTGATTAATCCGCTGATAAATTAGCTGATTTGACGATGTTTTTAAATGCTTTCTCCAAAGCTTGAAACGCTGTCAGTGATGTAATCCGCACACAAGCAGCCAATAGTGTTCAGCTTTTTCTGACGACTCCTCCCTCAAAATTTCATTGGCTGTGGTTTGGTAGCTTGAATGAACTGATGGGGAATGAGTTGTTGTCAGATCATGTAGTGTGTGACCCCCCTCTTGTGGATCGTTCACGGAGTGTTGCGTAGTGTGAACACCACAGAGATTAAAAGACACAAAGTCAGGTCATGCAGTGTGAACGGCACAGCGATCTGCTGATGTTTAAAATCCTGTAGTGTGGACTAGGCTTAAGTAGTACCATATGAACAAACCGTTTTCTTAATGTATTTTTCTCTTTTGTTTCTTTAGGTTCTTTTTTGAAAGAACATCATCTCTTCCCACCATCTTTAAGGAAAAAGAGAGTATCTACAGACCATTTTTTTACTTCAGACTCTTTTCCTGGATTATGCACTAGTGTATTTGAAACCCCGGAACAGACGCACCTGCCTTGTTCTTTTAAAAACTCTGAGAGGATTATAGAAATGGCCAAAAGCCCTCTTCCCTCATCACCATCCAACTCACCATCATCTCCTTCATCTGCTCCTTCTTCACCCTCATCGTCCCCCTCATCATCATCTCCTGGTGGAATGGGTACAAACTACCAAGAGAATGAAGACCGAGGCCATGCAGGTGATAACAATGTCAGCAAAGGAAATGGAGACTTTGTGTCATCCACTTCATCTTCTCT